TCTCTCTCTCTCTCTCTCTCTAGATCTATCTAGCTCCCCTATATTTATTTTTACATGTATATATTTCTATATTTCTCTTTCTAATGTTCTGCTTTTTGAAATTTGCATTTCTTTCCCTTGGAAACTCTCCCAATTCATTCAGCTAACACGTCAGAATGACAAAAACATAAAGCCCGAGCGAACCCCGAGTGCAGAACGCGCTCGTCTCTACGGAACTCTGGCACAGAAATTTCTCTCGGTGCATTTTAATACCTCAGGGATGCACAGATGTGTTTTATACACTCCCATTTTACAGGGAAGTAAGAGGTGGAAAGACAAAACTCACTTTCTTAACCCTAAGCCATTCCTGACATAACAAAACCCTAAGGACGGAGTGCACTGAGAGGGGGTTTCTTTCCAAGGGAATTTAGAGAGGTCAATTCCTGTTCCTTGCCAATACCTACCGTGAAAACCAGACCAACTCCACAGGTTTTTGGATTCTGCATCCAGCCCTCCCAGGCAATTTCCTGGCAGCTCGGGGTCCCCTCTGGGCAAGGGTACCCAGCACGAGCCCTCCCCATTCCCCGCTCACCTTGCTCCTCTCCAGCCACAGCGTGTGCCTCCCTCTGGCGGGGACCTCGGCGTGCCCCAAGGGACACGGGAGCCCCCCAGTCTCCACCCCGTCCCCCTCAGCCTTTGCTCCTCACCCCCAAAGAAGGCACAGAACAACTCCAACTGCCCTGGACAGCAGCACCCTGCTTTATTGGAAGCCTTTCTAGGTCTAGACCCCCTCCCAAAAAGGAGCTCTGCTGCAACAAGAAAAGGGGGGCAGATCTCAGAAATCCCTCCCCCAAAACCCCAGGCACAGGCCAGAGGCAGAAAGAGGGAGTGGTGGCAGAGAGGACACAGGAAGAAAAGAAAGAACAAAAGAATGGGCTGTGGGATGAAATAGAAAAACAAAATAACAACAACAAAACAAAAATACCAAAAGCAACAAACAAACAAACAAACAAAAAACCCCACTCAAACAAAAAACCTGGGATGAGAGGGATTGAAAAAGAACAGACACAGGGAACGGGACACAAGGATCCAGCGGGAAACAACGGCACGGAGATCAGCAGAGAGCCAAAGGGGATAAAAAAGACACGTGAGTGAGGTGTGGAGAAGGACACAGAGAAAGACAGACTGCAGAACACACAACAAGGACAGAGGGATGCAGAGACAAAGAGGGAAACAAGGAGCAAGAGAGGAAAGGACCACACCAGGCGCCAGTGGGGGGAATACGGACAAGGTGCTTCTCCCTTCAGTCACTCCAGCAAGCGCGGCTTCCCTGCAATTTCACGTCTCTTCCAAGCACAACAGGTGAACAAATAGGTACTCCCAACATCTTCTTCCTTTGTACTTTAGGCAGCTCAGATCTGCCGGGAGAAACAGCAATTCAAGGGCAGATTTAAAAATGGAATTTCCACTTACCATCCTCTCCGCCTTTTCTCCAACTTAGCCCTGGGCTGGGAAACAAAAAGACAACAAACAAACGTTAAGGTGTCTTGAGAATGCCCAGGCCTGGGAGAAAGCCCTTCCCACCACCCTTCTGGCCTTTTCCCACTCTGAGGAGCTGTGGAAATGCACAACCAGACCCGAGGCGGACAGCCTGGGATGTTTTCTGCACACCAAGCACCACCACCCCCGAGCACTAGGAGCCTGAAGATGCTCTGAATTGCAATTCACAGCCTCAGTGAATTCTGCACGGGACAACCAAGTACTTGGTGCACAGAGGAAATACAAGTCACTGTTTTCAATACTTAAAATATCCGGGGGAGCTACTGGCTGCTTACAGCAGCGAGATTCATATGGCCTCCCTTACTTACGGATGTATCAGAAAAAGCGGTTTCAGGTTCCTTCTTTTTGGATCCCAACTCCAAACGCGAAATTTCTCACGACTGCTCCCGAGAGAGGCAATTGAAACTCCAGGAGCTCAGGAAAGCGACTCTCTCCCCTGAGTCATGTCTCACCTGCCCGAACACCCGCAGTGCTTTTATAGCACCTCTCTCCCTGCTTTCCACATTCATTTAAATGTAAGAAGCTTGCAAGCTCTACCTCCAGCCCCAGCCGCATCTTCCCTGCGCCCCAGCACTGCCCGGCCTGCTCAGATGCTGCTCCGCTCTGCTGCGCTGCCCCTCGCCGCGGGGCCGAAGCGGGAGAAGCCGCAGGTTTTGTTTCCCGGGAAAGGCTCTCCCGGGCCCCGCAGCTCCTTCCCGGCTCCGTGTCCGCCTTCGCCCGACGCTGACCCCGCCGCACCCCGCCGGCGCCACCGCCCTCCTCGGGGCTTCTCCCGGGACCTGCCGTTCTCCGCTCACCTTCAACCTCGCTGCAGCCACAGCACCTCCCGCCCTCCCCTCCACTGTCCCCTCGCCTGCCGCTGCCGCAGCCGGAGCCGCGCCTGGCGCTCCCGAACCGCTCCCGCAGCCCCGGGCCGGCCCCGCCGGGCGCTCCCGAACCGCTCCCGCAGCCCCGGGCCGGCCCCGCCGGGCGCTCCCCGCGCTGCCGGCAGCGCCGCTCTCCGCCAGCAGGTGGCACCGGCGAGTCACCGAAAGTAGCCGCGCGTGCGTCTCTGCAGAGCCGGCGGCGCCGGGACCCCGCTCAGCCCTCGCACGGCCAGCGGCAAGATTTAGGGCATTGAGCGAGCAAATGCCAGACCACAATAAATCATAAACAAGTTGCAAGATTTCTTCCCAGTTTCTCTCCAGCCATTCGTACATGGAAGTCCGTGACTTTCCTGCTTCCTTCTGGAAAAATGGAAGTATTCCTCAGTTGTGGAGTGGTTCCAGTCCAGTCCAAACACCTGACGAAAAACGCATCTGCTCCCTGGGTGTCAGGAAGAGCTTTTCTAAGTGAAAGAACTGAAAAAGACTCGGTATAGTGCAAGGTTTTTTGTTTTTTGTTTTTTTCCTGGAATAAGAACACAGGCAGACAGCTTGTCAGGACACACTGCACTCTCTTCTCCAAATACAATTCTGGGCTCCTTTGCAAACTGCCTCTGCCACGTGGTTTTCTCCAGGAGAAATCAAGGCATTTCTCCGGGCAATTTGGAGATCATGTTATCACAAATGAAAGAAAGTAAAGAAATATTCCAAATAAGAGCCTTTGGGGTCCTCTGGGCTGAATTTGGAAGGGGACATTCATTCCCTGCACTGCAAATACACCACAACCTCCAACACAAAGCAAAGATGTCAAGTGAGGTCTGAAAGCATCAGTTTGACAACCTCGTTGCCTTTTTTTTTCTTTTTTTTTTTTTAAGTGACTTTTGCAATCAAACTCTAAAGCTGACAAACCACAAATGTTCCCAGTGCCCTCCAGCCACTCTGGAACAAAATCATATTCCCAGCCAAACTGACAACAGACAGGTCGCAGGGGTCTCCTCTTCAGAAGCTCCTGGCCTGATACAATGACATATTACACACAGTAGAAGAAACTCCATTTGTTTTTTTTTTATTTAAGCAGAACCTAAGGAAAAGCACTATAGAAGTGGCATCCACCTATTTGCTACCACAGTGGAGATGATGACTGTATAATTTCTACACCACCTCTCAGCATCCAAGCTTTAGCTCTAGGCTGTCCAGGAGAAGAGCCACATCTCTCCAATGGAAAGGACTTCTCACTTATTGAGTATGGAAATGGCTGAAGGTGGAATCTAGAAAAAGGATTTCACAAAAAAGATCTAAGGTGAAACAGTTCTCACCTTTGTCAAGTCCCATTAAAACCTGTAAGTGTTTGCATGTCTTTGTGTGCATTCACAAGTGAAGAGAAATCCAAACACTAGAGACCATTATCGGGAGCAGAAAGAAACCAAGGTACAGGTCTTCATTAAGACACATAAGGTTAGTGCACGAGATACAAAGAAACAAAGTATTTATTGTTAAAAGCTGTTCTAGGAATCACTCGGCATCATACAATGGCTATGGTGGCTACAGAGTAGAGAGAGTCTCTCTCTCTCTTCCCCCTATGCTTTATACACGTATTTGCTCACTCTCACAAACTCACTGATGTATTTTTTAAATGGAGTTCCTCTCTTCAGTGAGTTTGGAAAAGATGTTTATAATACAGGATCTGGCAGAACAGATACATTCTATTAAACAACAGAGCAGTTACAGAAAGGAGACTGCTTTCTTTAGTAAAAAAGAGCCTTCTTTCTCTCCTTATCTCTTCGTATTGCCATGAAAGAGTTCTCCACACAAAACCAGACCAACAACCCCCAAATACCCAATTAGCATTTTGGCAAAATTAGGAGCACTAGGATATGCACCAATATTGATTTATACACTAATATTTTCACTTGGCTTCCACAGGATAAGTTCTAAACAATGTGGTGTAAAAAACCTGCCAGCTGAGACGATGTCTGCACTACAGCTGCCAACCCTGCTGTGTCGAACAACTGAATCCCTGCTGGTAACAGTGAAAATGCTTCGACAGTGCGTCTCAAAGTTACTTACAAAACTTTTGGTTCTGTCCTTGCCTCCCACTTCCCAGGCTACACACTGACTGTGACTGTCTCTCCCAAAAGCTCTCTTTGTCCGCACACACACACGAGCACACAGAATGCACAGACTCACGTGGGCTGTGCTATTTCCAAGAGTGCTTTGCACGTTACCTTGTGCTGCGTCTTACTGCCGCTTCAGTGGCACTCTGCTCCATTTTTTAATTTCCTTTCCCACTGTTGTATTCTTCTCTTTATTCCACAACCGAACATTTGCTTCCCCTTCAATCTCTAAGAAACATTTAATCTGATTCCTGCCTCATGGCCAACAACCCAGAAGACTAAATAAAACTGTTTCTAACCTGCCGTGTCAACACTCTTGCTCCAAGATACGTTTCCCTACTACTGGTACTCCAGAACTCTGTTGAATCCTTTCCTAGTTTGATGCCCTATTTTCTAACAATCTATATTATCATCTATACATGAACTACTTCTATGCACAGAATGTTTTTTTACAGTATGCATAGATCTGTATTGTACTGTGGCAACTGAAGACCCCGAAACATCTTGTCATCTTTTATACACACAAAAAGACAACCATCCTGAACTTAAAATGAATTCCTCATTCACAGTCTGCCATAATTATCTGACTGTTCGGTGCCGCTACCTTTCATTTTCAATGCTCAAGCAACACTTGGTCTAGTTGCTTCCAGTATTGCTCCATTATTTTTCTTCAAATAAAATTTTTGTTTTGCACACAAGCTCTTAGCTGTACCTGTGGAACAAAGGACAAAATTTTTCTCTGTCTTCAGTAAAACACCCAAACAGTTCCTGAACACAGGAAAAAGGCATCAGAATCTCAAACCCCAGTTTAACCGAAGGAAAGACACCTGACAGCTATTCCCAAGACTCACAGGTAGTGACCAGTCTTTTTTTATAGACAGTGAAATATTTAGATTCTGGACTGCTATCTCCAGTGCCATCTTCAGTGGCTGATTCATGCACACACCCCTTTCAGTATAACACTGCTGCTTGATAGTTTCAGCTTTCAGTGACACAGTTGTGAACACTGGCACCAACACCACATTAGTTTTGTTAATTTGCTCTGAAAGAGACTTGGAACCAGATCCATCCAATTAATTATTCAGAGGCTCTAAAACCAGGCTGGACTCCAGTATCCTGTCAGCTGTGGCAAATGACTGGTATTACTCTCAAATATTGGCTACTTCAGCAGGAAGGTTCTCAAAACCCAGAATTCCCTGGCAGACATTCTGCAGGCATCTATCTCAGTCCTTCTCATATCTTTGCCTATCTTTCTCTGCATTTCTTATTCCTGCAGACTGAGCATAGCCCCTGAATGTAGCTGCTCTGTTTGCCACATACAGACAAGAGTTTTATACACTGAGCAGCATGCACACAACGGACACAGCAGCATAACAAATACGGAAGCACAGTCACAGATGGCCCCCACTGTTTTTTACTCATAATGCTTGCCTGTTGTCCAATTAGCAGAGTCCTAAACGAAGTAACATTTCTAGTCAATCACTGTGGCAGCCTCACAACCCCTAAGTATAACCAGTTTAAGACTGCATGATTTCACATTTTACTGTGGAAAGAGGTTTTAACACAAAAGGGAAAAAATTCCAAATCAAGCCATTCCCAATAAAAGGCCTCAGACAATGAGGGACTGTCATACTTTTTCTCACACCAACAGGTTTTGTGTGAGAGTACTGCCATCACATAAATTCAATCAAAAGTAAATTTTCCAAGACATCTCTGAACACAAATGATGGACTAAAAGCTATGGCACTATTAATGTGAAAACAAAGATATTAAATGCAGGGGTAAAGAGAAGACTATCTCTTCTGTGACTGAACAGAAGAAACTTTTAAGTTAAAACTAAGAGAGAAATTGGCAAAGACAGCAGAAAACGCAATACTAGAGAAAAAACCACATTTATTCAAAAGAGCTGCCTTCTTTCCATACCACATGTGAATTTGATTCTTTCCAAGGAAGTGAAAGGAGGTGAAAAAGAGTAACTTAGAAGAGGATTTTGAGTGCCACATCGAATGAACAGTTATACTTTGGCAGCTGTTTTTTGGACTAGAAATCCTTTAATTACAACTCATCTGTGCACTACAAAAAATGAGGAGGGGAAGGATTTGAGGAAGATGTCCCTGCTTCCAAGTAATTGTTCCATAAATTCCCATTGTCTGAATTTGTTGTACATTTACAAAGAAGATGATTTCCAAGGGATATGTTCTCTGTGCTATTTAAGGCTGATAGCGCTTTATAACTCAACAGCATCCGAAATAACCAGCACGTATCATGTATGGGAGAGCTAAACAATTCATAGTAAGAGGCAGTTCACCGATGATCAAAATGTGAGACCAATCCAGGGACTCTGTTAACCTCTTGAAGTAAAGAAAAAACTACCATGTGACATGAAGTTAAGCTTCTTGGATTCTACACCAAGAATCAGGAAGTTCTTTTCAGTGATGAACCCTACAGTCACACACAGAAACATTAAAATAATCTGGTATTTTACATATGTACGCATTGTTAACATCTGCTGTGTTAAAGGCAGGCATCAGCAAAGCACCATTACATTATTTTAGCTTTCTCAGAATGCCTCATTTGTTGCTAATACCACTGATATTAAGGATGCATAAGAAGCTCTTATCCCAGGAATGATTCTCTTTGTCTCAGTACCGTGTATGGGTCATACCCATCTAGTGATATGTGATTCACTTTACCTTTCACTGCCGGGGTGAGGGGAAGAGAAATTATTTGCATCTGCAGAAAAGATGGCCTGACTATATGTCTTCTCCTCCAGACTGGCTCTGCATTCCAGGATGCAAATGCTCCCAGTTTGTTCTTTCAGACAGTGAGACAGCTTCTTGCACTGGTCCAGCTGAAACAAAAACTCTCTTCAGGAATACAAAGCATTCCACAGCTATAAGAAAAACTATCTTGTCTAATTCCAGGTCAGTTACTGTTTGAGACTCTTGTGTACCACAGGGTAAGAACTGCGTTTATTTCTCTAAACCTGTAGTCTCCTATAACACCCATCTCAACCTCCCCCATCGGTGCCACCCATGATTCTAAGCATAGCCATTAGGATTTGCTGTGTAGTGTCTAACTTTGCACTAAAACGTAACGATGTGCGTTGATGAGTGAACCTTTAGTCTTCTTCCACACTGACACTTTCATGATGCTGTCTCTGGCTTGGAATGGTTTGAGACACCTGTCCTGGGCAAGATTTTCAAGGGTCACTCTAAAGCTGGTGTTCTGACTGGTGTGTTGATGGCACGCTCTCATCCAGTCAGGAAGCAGGTCCATGTGTAACAGTGAGCTAAGTAACACTGAGAAGTCCACTGGTTTGGTGGTCATGATGCCAACAGAATCTTGTGAGCAGTACTTATGTGTTACGCACTCCCAAAGATTGTTCCAATTCCTGTCGGCGCTGTTGGATCTGAAAGAAAAAGACACACTGTACAGTTTAGCAGATTAAATTGCTCAGTGGCAGGAGATGCATTTTTAAGGCAGCAGTGTGGATATTTCTTTCATACCTTGCAGTAGAAGTATCTGCTCACAGCTTCTTGAGACCATGGCTCGTGATAAAATTCGGCTCTGCGTTCTTCCTCTGGGTTTCCAACCACATCAGTCATCACCTGTGACAAAAATAAAACCATTTTTCACCAAAGCTCTTCTACCACATAGAGAAACTTTCAGATTTACCCAGAGTGAAAATTTATCTACATTACACATAAAAATGGTCAGAACTGTTCTCAAAGCCCAAAGCTAATGGACAATGTGTGCTTACTGCCAAAACAGGATCACAGAATGAGCAAATGGTTTGTGTTGAAAGGGACCTTTACGCTCATCTCATTCCACCCCCTGCCATGGGCAGGGACACCTTCCACTAGATCAGGTGCGCCAAGCCCTATCCAATCTGCCTCCAGGGATAGGACAGCAGGGGGGTGGAACCATTCTTATGTCTTCAGCATCACAGAATCACAGGTAAATATAGTTATTGGAATATTTTGCAAAGCAGTGTTGTGGAATCACAACTCTGATGCCAGCAGGGCAGAACATTAATAGAAAAGGCTCTTATGGGGTGACTTGTCAGTCAGGGAAAACTCTGAACAACTATTCCGTGTGTAAAGCTTGTGAAACTCCACAATACCTTTTTAAGTTCCTGAAGTCAAAGACTGCTTTATTTAAACATGCTTTTAGATGCCTGTCCCCTTTGAATACAATATAAATAATAATAACCATAATCTCAACAGTAGATTTTTGGAAGACTATTCAGTTAACAATAGGCATTTATGTAAGAAAGACACAACAATTTTATTAAAATGATTTCATGGATTCAATAATACAACTAATTTTGAGGCATGTCAGTTAAAGAGAGAAAATATGAAACTTTATGAGGAACAAATTATTAATTTTTGCTGGCAGACAACTGAACGTCTTTACATTCCATTTCTTGCATATCTCAAAGATAAGCTCAAGGACTTGCACATCTCAAAGATAACCTGATAAGATTAAATTATGAACAAACACCCAAATTGTGTTCTCATACTACAGGATGCTCCTGCTGAGTTTGACACAGCTTTGAATTTATAGAATACATGAACAAAGCCCTGCATTTCAAACTTACTGTCCGGCCACAAATAAACCTACCACTCCCATGAAACACCACTGTTCCACTGGAACTGGAATACAACCTAAACTATCTTTCCTGCATACTGTCTACTCTGGGATTTCATTAGTCCACTCACTGTCTGTCTTCCACCACTTATCCATCCTAAAGGTTTGGCTATACACTCTGTGTACATTTAGATAAAATTCTTCCGTTCTGGTTCCACTATGCATTCTTTTTCAAATCTTAGCTCACCTTAAGATCCCTGCTTTGGGACCGGAGAAGGTCTTGGATGTATCCTTTGGGATCCTTGGAGAAACTCAGCATAAAATCACGTTGTATTTTTAGCTGATTTATGGACTCAATTGTCTCATGAATCTGATAGAAAAGAAACAAACCGGATATTCTTTAATTTCTCTCACGCTCCAGTGCTCATCAGGTCAGCTCTGTTACCATCTTAGTACACCTGGTAATTTACAATTCTACACCACAGACTGATGCAGCCCTTCCTAGGGCTTTTTCAATTCAGAAAGCAGCAACTTAACTGCAATCCTGCCACTAAATTTTGGTTTCACTTGTACTTCTGCAATGCAAGTGTGTACAGGATTCTCCTTCACTTCCTGCACTGAACTTCTGCATGGCATGCAGAGCTAAGCCACATTACTGCACAATGTAATAACTTCTTGTGTAGAATCACTCTGCCTGCCAAGACTGGGATCTTTGAGGAAAGGTGCTGCATAAATACGCAGTTAAGCAGTGCCCAGTGCAAGAAAGCAGTTATTCCCCTGGTTACTATCATCATCACATCTTCAACATCCTACTGTAATGTTTAAAAACCCCAGCTATTTCCTGATCAAGTCCATGTCAAATGAATAGCCATGACTTCTAGACCTTTTCTTAAGAGAAAGCCCATGAAAGTCACGATGGCTGCAAAAAGAAGAGTGTGAACAATGAGAAATCATGAGTAAATGATTTTGGATGAAATGGAAGGTTTATAGAAAATGAATCATATCTTTAGAAATATTATGGCAGAAATATTAACTAGCAGGGAAGACTGGAGTCAAGGTCCTGTAATGGATAATATCATCAAATATGAACAGGAGGAGGACAGTTCATGAATCATTTGCACATAGACACAACATTTGCTACCCTGTTCTTCTAACGTTCTAGTTTGAAATACTAAACCTATCTTGTTTAGTTTCATGTATTCGTCTCTTTTGCCAAAACAGCCAAGATGACAAGCACATTGGAGAAAATAATCGTACCCTGATCTGGTTATGCCACAAGGCCACTAGTGTAGGTACTACATGGTACATTAAGAGAAGAGAGCTGTTGCCAACTTAAAATCATTCCTTCTTTGGCAAAATGCTCTAGTTGCGCTCAGTGAACTCCATTGGTGTGCGCCAAATTCCCAGGAGGAGACACCATGGCAGCACAGCAATGAAATGCACAGAGGGTAACAGGAGCAGCCCATGTCTACTCACCCTGAAGTGACTTCAGTAACTTCACTGATCACAGCTTGCCCTGTGCTGCAGCAAATATTCAAAAAGGAGTAGACACAGACAGGAGAGAAGGTGAGCGGGACTGGAAGCAGAATAACCCTATGCATGATGCTTGCGAGCTTACATGGGCTGGGAACTAACTGACTGAGTGGCTGAAAAGGACTGGCCTTAAGAGCCTGACAGCAAAGACACTGCAACAGTTACCAGAATCCATTGCATTGCTGCCACCCAGACCCCGTTTAAAACTGCATGAAGACCATAGTTAAACATATTTGTTTGTATTAGCAGTAAACAAAGAGAACCTGGGCCTTGTTCTGAGAAGGCATTTTTGTTTATCCCTTACCGATCCAAATCAGCCATTGACACATGCCAGAACTGGCTAACAGCCCCTAGGACACGAACCCCTAAAACAGCCTGTAAAACCCACTACTGCCTTAAGATAGATATTATTATTTGAAGTGCACATGATCCTCTTCCACTGACACTTGAAACTGCCCAAGCGCTCCAAGTGATTTTCTTGCCATGCATGTTCCATGTTTCCACCTAATGCAGAGAGCCATTCTGCAGTTAGTATAAAACCCACACCTGACTATGAGATTCTCCTAGCTTTGGCTTTGCAATTTAGCAAGATATCATGACCTCTCAATAAAAAGTTAGTCATACAGTTCTGGTGGTTTTCAAGTGTCAGGGGACTCGGTACACTACCTGTGAAACTCCATCACCACAACAACCACGTCAGGCCTAGGATCAAATCCTAAATGGGAATGCCATTCACGCTGATGTACTCCCACTGCATTTGACTGATTCGTCCCTTGAAAGCACATGCCCTTAACAAGTCCCCATCTCACAACATTACTGTCTTTGACACATGACACAAAACACATGTGAAGCTACACAATGAGTACATGTACCATGGGATACTTTACTCTTGGGCTAATACCTTGTTATCCAATGCTGTTATCTCCTGTTGGTTAGCTGTTGAGAGAAGAAAACTACTCATCTGGCCTTTTAATGGGTCTTCAACTTCTACATCTATGTCGTAACAAGCCGTCTTCTTCTGATCGTTGGGGTCAACACTATAGAGAGTACAACACAAGATCATAAGAACTGCCATAATAAATCAGAATGAATTTCCATCCAGCCCAGAATTCACTCTACAATAAAGCCTGTTGCAGATGCTGTGAAAAAGTTTAAGAACAGGGTATCTTTATATATTTTCATATTCTAGTATGTTCTCTCATCTTTTGTCAGTCAGATTTCAAATACTTTTGAGCTGGAGCTTTTGCCCAGATCATCAAATTTAATTTCTAACATCCTCCTGAGACTTGTTACACTAAATACTAGTATCATTCTTTGGCTTGTCCTGCCCTAAATTTGTATTTAGCTTGCCAGTGTTTAGACTTAACACTTACTTTATTGTTAGACTAAAGTTTCTTAACAAGAAAACAGTCTTCAGTATTTGGTAAATCAGACTTCAATCACTGTCACCTGTAATATAAAAATCCTGGCTTCTCAACCCTATCTGTAAAATGTGTGGGTTATGTGCATCTTCAGTAGGTACTAAAAAAAAAAATTGCTCAGGATGTAATTGAGCTTGACAGACTTGGGGGAGTGGAAGAACTTCCAGAGGTGGAATTGCACTAGTAGAGCTGTAAGCAGGTGGAGGAAGGTGATCCTTCTCTATTCTCAAGTCCAGTAAGGACACACCTCTAGTACTGTGTTCAGTGCTGGGCTTCCCAGTGCAAGAGATATATGGAGCTCCTGGCAGGAATTTTGAAAAGGTCCATGAAGATGATTAAGACATCAGAGAATCTCACAGCTGAGGAAAGGCTGAGTGGTCTGGGACTATTCAGCCTAGAAAACAGAAGGCTGGTGGGGAGGGAACTTACCAAAACTTGAAGGGAGGGTTTAAAGAAGATAGAGCCAGGACCTTTTCAGTGGTGCCCAGTGACAGGACAAGAGGCAGCTGGCTCAAACTGAAACACAGAAGGCTCCATCTGAACACCAGGAAATGCATTTTTACTGTAAGGGTGACCAAGCAATAGCACAAGTTGCAGAAAGACCCTCAAAGCCCATCTGCTGTTACCCCAGCCCGGAGTCTCCCATGTTGGAGACACTCCAAAGCCGTCTGGACATGGCTGTGGCCAGCCTGCTACAGGTGGCTCTTCTTGAGCAGGGAAGGGCATTTGACCAGATGACTTCCAGAGGCCCCTTCCAACCTCAAACATTCTGAGAATCTGTGATGCTGTGAGGAAGCCTGCAAGAAGATGAGCAGCAGAAGGAAAGCTAAGGGAAAACTCAGGTTTGGGTCTGGCTCTGCCACTCGTGTCAAAAGCCACAGAGAAGGCTCCACGTTGTCTTTGGCTCCATTGCTCCTGGCCGAGTCCTGTCCTCAGGCCTCCCAGGGTCCTGAGCCCAAGTCAGTGAGGGCAGCAGGGCTGGACAGAGGGATCCTGACGGGCCACAGAAACACAATGGCACTTCAGCATGGTAAAGGTCAGCACAGGAAAAGCTCTGCTCCTGGGATAGAATGACATCGTGCAGGGGGACAGGTTGGCAGGAGAGGACTCGGGGGCCCTGATGGACAGACAACAAGTGCAGGAGGAGTCTGTGGGGTAGGGCAGCCACAGCAAAGGTCAGCTGCAAAAGGGGCTGTATTAGCGCAGGTGCTGCCACAAGCCAGCAAAGAGGCTCCTCCTTGCTACACCACGCTGGTGAAACTGGATCTGGACTGGTGGGCACAGGACCACAAAGATGTGACACCCTGGAGCGAGGCCCACAGAGGCCCAGTAGGATGCTGGGGGCTGGAGCAGAGACCTGCCGAGAGAAGCTGCTAGAGCTTCTCCAGCCTAGAGAACAAAAGGGAAAAGGAGATTCCCTGGGAGCATGTGACATATGGACTGGTGAAGCACAGACAGGGCCAGCCTCCCCTTGGAGGTGCATGACATTAGGGTGAGAGGCAACAGAAACTCACTGCAGCATGGGCAATTCACTCCCTATAAGGAATTGGTTTGTAAAAAGTCATGATGGTAGTCAAAAAGGGGGAAGCCAGAGATAACCTGTTTGTATGAAAAGAATATTGGAGAGCTATGCTTTGCAGTCTGCTTGTATTCTTTAATAGAGTGGAAGACGTCTCGCTTCTTTGCAGAAATGGAAATCCCACAGAGGTTCTTCTTTGTGCCTCTGATTTCAGTTGCGTCAACTGCAATTAGAAGTGCAACTCAAGAAAATCTCCACTTCTAGCTTGAGGTCAGGTGAGATTTGACTTCTACCCGTTTTAAATTTGATGCATTCAGTATTGTGGGAATCAGAAACCATTACAGAATCTGTATTTTTAATTGCATTCTGCAGGTTTGAGTCTGCCTGGTATTTAAAATATTTGTCAAGATCAGACTTTTTGTTCATCTCTACTTTATGTCCATTTCAGTGCATTGCATTGTTTCTTCCTTTTTTTCAAAGGTGCCTAGAGAGTGATGCTACAATACTATTATAATTTCTAGAATTAGTTTAGAATACTTCACATTTTCCTCTCTGTGCATATCCTCTAAAACTAGAATGAATAATTGTGATCTACTTGATATTCCTGTAAAAGGCAGGCCTGAGGATTTATCTGAATTAAGGGCACATATATTTACAATCACTAGTAATGAAAAATTCCCTGTAGTAGTGTGATGGTTTTGGCTGCGATAGAGTTAATTTTCTCCACAGTAGCTGGTATGAGGCTGTGTTGTGAATTTGTGCTGGTGTCCTGGGGTGACTATATGTTTGTTGCTTGTATCCCCAGTTGTCCGTTCCGTTTACACTGGATATGAAGTTCTGCACCTTTAAGACTGGTTCCAAGAGCAAACGGAACCAGAGAGAAGTGCAGAGTTTGTCTGCAGCGGAACTGCATTTGTTTCCCTGCATTTCTCTCTCACAAACTGTGTTGTCTGCAGCACGGAGAGCGGGAGAGGGCTCTCATTTGCTTTTTTACTTAGTTTTTTTTAGCTAGCTGAGGCAGAGAAATTCCCTGGACTGTGGCTTTTTCTTTTTCTTGGAACTGTTCAAGCCTGCTCTGGGACTGAAAACCCAGAAAAAGACCGGGAGCTCACATCTGTGGCTCACCAGGGTCTGGGACGTGGCATTTTTCAGAGCAAGTAGGACTGATAAGAGGGTGAGCGAGCCAAGCTACACCCCACAAGGACTTTCGGAATTTGCCCTCTCTTTAGAATTGAGAGAGGTTTTATTGTTTAATATTATTATTTTCTCTTTTTTTTTATGCTTGTGAATACTTTGCTTGTTAAATAAACAGTTTTTTTCACTTTTCCCTAAGGAAATCTTTTCCTGAACCAGTTAGGGGAAGGGCTGCTTGAATTTGCTTTTCAGGTGGGATGCCATTCAGAGGTTTTGTCCCAAAATTTGCCCTAAACCAGAAGAGCTGGAAACAGTTGGTCACACAGAGATGTTTTCATTATTGCTGATCATTGCTAACAGCGTGTCGATACCTTTTCAGCTCCTCACACTGCCCGCCAGCGAGGAGGCTGGGGATGGACAAGGAGCCAGGAAGCAACACAGCTGGGACAGCTGACCCCAACTGACCAAAGGGATATTCCAAACCATGTGGCACCAGAGTGAGCAGGAAACTGGGGCAGGTGTTCACTGCTCAGGGTCTGGCTGGGTATCAGTCAGTTGGTGCTGTGCAATAGTTTTCATCTGTATTCCTTGTAGTGTTGGATTTTGTTCATCACCATCACCATCACACCATCATCGTCATCATCACCATTTGTTATATACTGTCTTTCGCTCCCTGTAACTTTTTCAACACTTCCCCCTGCCCTGCTGGAGAGAGAATGAGCAGATGGGGAGTCTGAGCTGAAGACCGGATTACACCAGGACAGGCAGCTGGCATATTGTTTTAGTGGCTGACTACGTTCACTCCAAAAAACTGAATGCAGGGCGACAGGACAGAGCACCTGTGAGACCCTGTTTTAAGTTCAGTTGGACCAGGCCCTTAAGTATCCTGGATAGACTTTGAACCCGATTTGAGTTTGGATGGGGGGACTCTCAATGACCACCAGCAATCCCTTCTAGTATAAATTATTCTGTGACTTTACGAGTCTAAAAATCACTTACTTTCTTGAAATTCAGTGACAGGCTTCCAGATTTATTTTAGCTTAACCCAACACTGTAAAGACTTCACTGCAAAAGTACTGCCTGTTCCCAGGAAGTGAATTCTTTCTTTTTCCACACTGTTACATCAGTACTGTTTAAGGTTATCAGGTGCTGTGTGGTGCACACAGTGTATCAGAGAACGCTGCTAGGCACAAAGCTGTAGCTCTGTGACACACACCTGTTCTTTAGCTGGTACCTGACAAAAACCACTCCCTCCAGTACCTTTTGTCATCTCTCTGCCCCTGGAAACATAATCATCAGTTTCTTGTTGTTTTTCTCTAAGCAATGACTATCTGTCTCTGAGGACCTCGGTTTTTTTGTGGTCCATCAGACAGGTCACCGAGTTGTGCTCCACGTACGTACACAGCTCTCAATCTGCATGGCCACCAACCTGCTTTTTCATTACTCTCTGTTTGATATATTCAAATTAATCAAAAAGCAAATTTTATTTTCATAGCCTATGTAGTATTTAAACGCATTACGTATGTTACAAATTTAAAATAAAGAGCCCAATTTTAAGCAAATTCAGAAGCGTTTGCATAAAAATATATTGTATATATTCTGTAGGAAATCAAATCAGTAACTTAAGTAATAATAATGTCTAAACACCCAGAATCAGAGTTTTGATCCTGACCACAAAGAATCTTGGAAAGGATTGAAATATCCAAACAGTAAAGCTGCAATCCCCAGAAGCCTCTTTATCCCCCTCCTCCATGTACACAGTTGTCACTTAAATAAGGCACATGCTGGAAGAGCCTTAGAGAGCTGCAAGCTGTGTTTCATCTGCTGTGCCACAAAGACAACTGTTTTGACAAAGACACAAGAGCTCAGTATCATAGTCCCAATGACCTGCTCTGAATCCACGCATTCTTTGCTGTTAATCTCTGGAGATTTCTTGACTCCTTGTCATTCTCAGGATAAGACTAATAGTCAAAGAGCTAACCCAGTCCGAACAAGGCATGCATGGACTGGCTCTGCATTTGAAATCGTAATGCTGATGTACATTTTACATAATATATCAGGAGATTAGAATGATTGCCCATGATGTACAATTCCTCATGTCAATTTTTTATCTCTTTTTGTGGGTTCAAATTTTCATTCCTCTCTCCTTAGGAAAAAAGCCCAACCAACTCTCTCAATGGTATTCTAGTAAACATAAAAGCTGTTTTTCGTACTCTTAGAAAACTGGTGTTGTGCTAGTGAAAGTAATTCAGAATTATACAAACTAGAATGACACATAGAACAAACACACAACAAAGCTCAAGGTATTCATCTGGAAGTTGTAAAAACTGGTTTCTGGCCTCTACAGCTACTGCAGCTCTTTCTGTACTTTATCTAATGAGTGTTTTGCACATGACAGTGCTGAGCTGACCAACCAGCTTACCTGATGATGTGGTTTATCACTATTGGGTCTGGTGGCAGCAGTAGGTTAGTGAGTCTCTGAGGAATTTCAGAAAACTTTAGCCGTGGACAGTCAAAGATCTGGAACACAATAAACAACAAAAGTTGTTTGTCCAAAGCCTGTCTTGCACTTAAATGAGAAAGTAAGAAACCTGCAGCTCACAAAGAACTGAGGCAATTACGGAAGATGATTTTGAAAGCTGCAATTCAGGTTCCTCGAACAGGTTAAATTTTTGGTCACTTCTGTCCCTGTACTTTTTTCTGGGCTTACAGATGAATCCATCAGGTCATGACAATTTCAGGTGTCTCAATTTTGGTTTAGCTGCTGGAGGGAACTGGACATTTTACTGGGACATGAGGATCAACTGTATCAATGACTAGAGAGAAGCAGATACTCCCTCTCTCTTATTGAGGGTTTACAGCAGCATATTGTAAAGAAAATGATTGTATTTTTTTTACCAGAGAAAACCCAAAACCAGTTTGCCTTTTTTCTCCCAAGGAATGTTTTCTGCAATATTTTGTGCTAAAGAAAAATACAAGAAAACATTTCTGGATTTTAAAACCATTTGCATTTTGTGGGTTTTTTAGGATTACAGAGAATGAAGTCAATGTGATATTATTTATTTTTAACCAAAGCCTGAACAGCCCCTTGAGAGGGATCCACCCCTTTCCAAATAATGGTTTATGGTTACTTTCTCTTTACTATGGTCTTGAAGCTAAATAGAATCATAGACTCCTAGAATATCCTAGGTGGAAAGGGACTCACAAGTGTCACTGAGTTCAACTCCTGACTCTGTACAGGACAACTCTGAAAATCACACAATGAATTTCTGCTGAATTCAGGGGGGAAATATAAATATTCTGGAATGGGTTAAAAGCTGTAGAGTTTGGAAATTTTCTGTGAACAACTGAAGTGCATTGCCATGAATATAGAAACAACACTCTTTACACCTGGAGTTTTCAGAAATATAATTATTACAGCCTTTGTTTCCTACTGTGATTTTTAATGCTCTGAACAGACAAACACATTTTTCTCCAAAGATACTCCATTTAAACTGACCTTAAAAAAAACAAACCCAAACTTTCCATATATTAACATTTGCCTTAAAATGTGCCCTCATGTGGAGGCAGTTTGTGAAAATGCTCAGGCCTATGCAAATGCCTCTTAGGGAAACTATTTTCACCTGACAGAAGAGATACACTACTCATAGTATTGTTTCTATAAAGAGAAACAACCTTTGCAGCTCCAGAGACAAAGGATGCAGGCAGGGCTGAAAATAAGACTCTCTGGTTCTAGAATAGACATACAAAGTCAGATGCTCTGGTTTCTCAGATAGGGTATCTTTTGAAATTCACAGTTTTCTCAAGTGAGTTTGGCAGCAGAAATACCTAGGAGCCAGCTCTAGGAACCATTTGCAAGGTTCTATTGCTTTTGAAATACCTTTGAACCTTTTTTCTTGCATTTGCTTGTAACACAGTGGATTTCAAATCTCCCTGCTGATATCAACATTGTTTTTAAACAGAAAAGGATCCGTCTTCATTGGCTCTAAAACCTGTCATTAATTGCTCACATCCAGGAATTCAGCTAGCTAGTTTCTGAAGAACAAGGAAGCAACAAAACCTACTGAGTCTGCAGCTCACTCCTTACTTGGGTTCTGAATTCTGGCACTTGACAGAGAGGACTGTGGAATTCCCACTCAAATTCTCTCCACACCTGGCTCCATCCCATCTGCTGTCACTACTGGCTCAATGCTCATGTCAAACTCCTAACATGGATGCAGGTCAGAGTAACAAGAACTTTAAGAAGGGAAAATGGATCAAGAACACACATTAATTAGTGAGAGAAGGATGGGAGGCTGGAAACTTGGGGGTGGGTGGAATTTTCCTAAAGCTTCTCACATTCTTGCCTAACTGGAGCTGGTGGTCTAAACTACATTAAGTTCTGAAAGCCTCTCTGGCTAGAGTGATCCTGGTGGGTCAGCTAACTCATTCAGTTATAATTTTTTAGTCTGTACTGTCTTGTGCTCTTAGACATAACCACAACACAGCCGTGCAGGATGCAGAAAAGCTGGAATACCAAATGAGACCAGTATGTCAAGGGGAATGCCAGAGACACCGGTGCATTATGTACTGCTCCCCTGAGTGACACACACACTTCCAGCCAGGACAACGCTTTTCTTTCAGGAGTTACAAGGCTAGAACTATAGAATCTACAGAATATTATCAGACTGGAAGGCCAATTCCTTTGCCTTCCATATCTCAACCTGAGAGTATTAGTGAAAAAACAAAAAAACTTCATCATTAAATACTTCATTTATTGTAAGGGGATTCCGATTCCTAAGTAGTAGCATCAGTTTTGAAAGCAAGATCAGCTAATTAGGATAGAGACCTAAGGAAAACAGAAATACTCAAAACAATCCCACTTATGATTTAAATCTGTGCAAGCACTGAATTCTTATGAAACTATTCTAGATTAGCCAGCTCTTGCAGGGTGTGAGATTCAGTCTTCCAAAAAAGCAATCAGCTACTTCCAAACTCTCTCACTTGATTCATCTTCTTAGTGTGAGAGGATAATTGTCATGTATCATAGCATTCCTGCAGAGTTCTAAGACAAAGGAGACCTAAGAGCAAATAAGTCTCTAATGAGATGCACAAGAAGATAGCTTCAACAAGTTCTTATTCTAACAAAGTTCTAAACTGAAAGTTAAATAAATAAAATTGATACGGCACTCCTGCTTACTAAAAGTAAGATATGTACATCTGTACAGGGTCACACAAAGGATCTGCTGCAAACCTACTGTACAATCCTGCCCTTGGCAGTGGCCAAAAGTGGATACTAAAGGAAAAATGTAAGAACAGGAGAAATATATATTGGTTCTTCCCCCAAAAACTCTCCCAACTTCCTCAGCTTTGCATTTAAAACAGCCCAAGATTTTTCATCCATTGGTTTGTCACTTTTGGAATCTATATACACTTTTATCGTTTGTGAGGTTCTATTTCAAGGAGTTTTGAAGCTTAAATATGCTTGAGTCCTTTTGTTTGTTTTCAATTTGCCACCCGCCAGTTTTAGTTGATGGACTGTAATTATTGACCAAAACAGAAAAAATTACTCCTTTTTTACCTTTTTCTTTCTGCCCATGATTTTTCAAATGTTTTTCACCTCCCCTTTCCCATTTCCTCTTTGGGCTGGCAGAAACAAAACTCAGTCTAAATTTGCTATAGATAAATAAAGAATGGAAATCAAATAATCTAACCAAGAGAACAAACAGAATTGTCATTTTGCCAAAATTCTTACATTATTTTAATATGGCGTTTTCACTATTTGTGAAAAAGACTGCTGCAATTCTCAAAAAACCAAAACCCAAACAAACAAGGGAGTAGTTACATAATCCTGATCACTTTGGTTCTATATTCCTAAAAATACCCATGAATCTCACAATTATTTTAGTGCATTTTGTATTTTCAAATGTGCAAAGGTGTCTTTAAGTTTACTTCAAGCATTGGCTACTTTGAACTGTGTCAGGGCAAATTTATAACAGAAAATAAAAACTTGAAAACCAGGACACAAGTTTCATCACAACATTTACCTTCACTGCTTGCTAAAACATTATTCATTCATTGTAATTGGCAGTACTTTCCTTACACAGAAGTATGTCACAAACCCTACTTTCAATTACTTTCACAATAAGTCATGTGAGCCTGAACAACAAAGCCAGGTAAGACAGTGATAGTTCAGTTAACATTACTTTTGAAAAAACGCTTGATAGTCATATTTACAGAAAGGGTGGAGATGCTTTTACATGGCCTTCTTGGTTAATTCTAGAGGTCAGTGTGAAAGACAAAAAGTCTTTACATACTATTTTCAAAATATCATGCAGATCATTAAGGATATTTCATTATCTGAAGAAGATTTAAGAAAAAACAGCTTTTCTAATTATATCTTCCATGTCTTCTTCCTTTGTAAACAGGGAAAAAGAAGGAAAGAAAACAGGTCTACATATGATTTGACAATCAGAATCAGCAGGTTATGTTTCTTAGCATAAAATGATACAACGGAGGAAAAAGCCCATCAAATCAGTACAGAAGTCCTCCCTCCTGGAAAGGCCACCACTTCTGTGGGAGTGCTGAACGTCCAGATGTAGGAGGTTTTGACAACACTGCCACATGGAGAAGGTGTTAATGATATTTGTTGTAGTGGCTGCCGAAAGCCATTCGGTACCGAGGATACCGTAAATCGTTAAGGAAAAATAAAAATCAGTCATTTTCATTCATCCCAAATTTGTGGCTGGATGTTACAGATTGCTTCAAAAGAGCTACTAAGGCCAAAAAAGAGTTACCTGCTGGAAGTACTTGTCACAGTTAATGTACTCCTTGTCGTGGGAGTCTTGCAGCTTGTTTGTTTTGATGTACTGCCAGAGAGCCTGGATGATGGCTGAGCGTGTCTGTGTGTGGATCCCCAGCAGACGGGCCAACCGTGGGTCCAGCTTAAACTGGGGAGGCTGGAACAGAAAGCCAAGGAGGTGGCAATACAGAGGAAAGCAGACAAATACACAAGTATGAAGTTTCAGTTTTAACTCTCGGGGGACTTCTGTTTCTTAGGAGAAGCATCCCATTCAGTGGCAGAGATTGCAAAAATACAAATCTGTATTTTTGTGTCCCACCATTGGTGCTCTGGAAGTGGGACATTGTACCTGTGCTGTGCATACAGACAACCTACAGCACATGCTTCCAACAATAAAAACTTGCACAAAGACTCAGGGAGAATTTTCCCTTTCAACACTGATGCAAAATTTGACCTTTGGGAATGAGAGAAGAAAAAGAACAGCCCTTCCTCTGAAGTACTGGAAGTTAACTACAGAGAGAGAGAAGGAAGGCAGGATGACACTTCCACAGTTGCTAGTAACTGCTGTCTTACATCAACACACTGTCTGGGAACTCTGTTTCTTCAGGCATGTTCCCACCATTCTGGTGCACACCAAAACATTTACCCAACCACAACCAGTCAATGGATTTTATTTCTTTTCCTGATATCAGTAATACAATTCAACTTCCCTGCTCTTCATCTCTTGCAGCATAAATTCCTTGGATAATCTGGAATTTGATGCTTCTTCAAGTGTGTACTCACTCAGGTTTAGTATTCACCACATTATTAAGTAAGGATTACTCTGATGGGTGGCAAGTCACCCAAAGCTATCTTTATAACAAATCAAGACTTAAGGATAAAAGAACATTTATTTTAAAGCATAAATTTATAATAATGGTGAGCATAACAAACATCGTTATACTGTCTTAATAGTAAAAATACTTGCTGCTTGTATCAGTATTTCAGTTAGCCCATGTGCTCCCTAAAAAGTAATAAAATTTTCTCTCTGTTAACATAAAATGAAGTGTCTATATCCTGAATAGATGCTATTTGCCTGGAGGCAAAAGACAGTGGCAGAGAACAAGTTCTTAAAGTTGCACCATCAAAATGCATCTGAGCCTGAACTGTCACTGAAAAAGGGGATCCCATCTACTCACAGCAGTGCATTCTTAACAGTTTCCTTAAGACAGCAACATTTCTTCTAGGGATGGTTTCACTCAGATTAGTGATCTTCACAACTGCAGCGTCCATCGTTCGTGCAAAGGTAAGGCTGCCACAGCTATACAGCTACTTCAGGTACCACTAGCAAAAGCTTCTCCTCTGAATTTTTTTTAAAGAAATATACGTGTAACTTGTGTGCAACTTATCTGACTAGTCTCTAAGAAGCTAGAGGAGAAAATGGGTATTTTTTTCTGCAGGTGGGCAATAAAAATACTAATTATCATAATGCCAAGACCAATATTTTGCTAGACTATATTAGAAATTCACTTGATTTGTCCCCTTTAAATTTTAAATAATCTGTCAGTTTGGTATCATTCTAACTTCAAGGGACCATGTGACACTGCAAGTCCAAGTATATTGGGTTTTGAGGTGTGTGACAAGATGAATTTGCTCGGTTGCACTAGGTCCCATTGGCTGGATGTTCCAGGATAAAAACAGTGCACTGACCTGGTAGTCCAACATGAGGAGTAATGTGCATCGCACACTGACATCCCCAGGTCTCTTCACCTGGAAGCCGTCCGTTTCCTGGGTCGTGGGAGTTCTGTGCCACTAACAAAGGGAAAAGGAAAATTGTTGGCCTTTTTTTCACTGATGTCCATCGAAGTGCATCTTGCACAGCACACCATGCCAGAATCAGACAAATACAAACTTTCTGAAGATCTGGCAATCTAAAAAAGAAACCCGACAACGAGAAAACCAAACCACAACACCCTCCCACCTATACGCCCCCAGTCATTTCAATTCAGTTTTAGTGCAGAATCTGCTCTGCTGTTAACATACTTTACTTGTTAGGAGAAATGTGCACAATATTTTCATCTTTTCATACATTCTGTTCTAAGATGTACTGATACATATCAGTATATATACATATATATATATACACACACACACTATATATATATATATTCTCTTAAGAAGAATGGAATTTTGAAAACTTTGGAAATATCTTCAATGAGATAATGAATGCAAGGTTTCTTAAACAATGGAGGCAATAGGCACCAGGTGTTTATATGTGCCAGTGGTTTGTATGCAAAGGGTGCACAGCCTTCTCACCTCCACAAGATGATTGTCAGGTCCATAAAGATCTTTGTCCAGTTCAATAACCAAACTCTTAAAAAAAGATGAAAACTTCCGTTTCTGTTTGCTGAGCTGTACAAACAGAAGAACCAGACATGTGTAAGGCTGCATTTATTAGCTTGTGTCCTAGACTTTCTTCTCAGTCTCTCTGTCTTGCACATTAAATCCCATATAAACCACAAGTGTGATCAATTTAATTGAGTTCTCCCTCTGACAAACACAGGGTAAGATGCAAAAATCTCAAGAGTACACACAAGGAACAGTGCACACTTTAGGGAAGATCTCCTTGACTCTTAATGTTATTGAAAAGGACTGGCTTGTAAGGTGAATATGACATCCATGAGAAAAGTCCAGAGAACAGCAATAAAAAATATCTCAGGACAGGAGCACCTCTCCTATGAGGACAGGCTGAGAGCGCTGGGGTTGTTTAGCCCAGAGAAACACAGGTTCTAGGGAGTATTTAAAAGGGAACTTGTAAGAAAGATCAAGGGAGACTTTTTACCAAGATCTGTAGTGACAGGGCGAGGGGCAAAGGTTTTAATGAAAGACAGTAGGTTTGGACTGGTCTTAAGAAAGACGTTTTTTACTCAGAGGGTGGTGAGGCCCTGGCACAGGCTGCTGTGGCTGCCCTATCCCTGAAAATGTTCCAGGCCAGGTTGGATGGGGCTTTGAGCAACACCGGCTAGTGGAAGGTGTCCCTTTCCAGGGCAGTGGGATGGAATGAGATGGTCTTGAAAATCCCTTCCAACCCAAACTATTCTATGATACTAAGTCCTCTGTATACCTTTCTATTAACAGCTTGGGATTTTTTGATGAATGCTAATTTCTTGGTCTGATTTATCAGATTACAGTAAATTTTGCATAACTGGTCATACAATAAGAAAAACTATTTCCTTTTAAATTTTTTATTTTCGTTTAATTACCACTATTTGTTGTTTACTGCACAGCTCATAATGTCTATATTAAAAACTAGAAGGTCTATGATTACCAAATCTGACTCTCCAGAGAATACAGGCCACAAGATTCCAATTTACTTCTTTGTATTTAATGCAGATAGTATTTTATTTTAAAATGCTGGTAATTGAAAAGCTATGTTGTTCTAATAAAGAATCTTCTTCTTTATTTAAATATATGCTCCAATTTCTAAACTGAATTTGTCTAACTTCAATTCCCAGATGTTGCACTTTGTCACCACTTCCTCCTCCAAGCAAGACTCAGATTCATGTACAGTTACCTCCAGACAGATTGAAAGCCTTTTCCTCTCCATGCATACATGTTCTCCATCTGTTTAGCCTATAAATACTTACTTGTTAAGTCTATTCAAATAGGTGATGCCTTTATTAGGAAAGTCCAGCCTTCCCCAACGACAACGAAATCCACCACTGAGGTTTCTGAGGACTTCATAATGGTAAAATGTTTCTTCCATCCTTGCTGTAACCATTCATACATCATGTTGTACCCCCTAGGAATATGAAGTACTCCCTTCTCCTTCTTATCCTGCTCTTTACAAGATGCAATGCCCACTGTAGGCCAGAATTCTCACACCTGTTGTAATCTGAACCCTGCCATCTCTTTAAAGGGATTAATCTCAGCCCTCTTCTCTCCATTTCCTCCTACCTGTCCTGTCCTTCTATCTGCCTCGTTTTCTGCTGCATTCTCCAGCATTCCCCTTAGGGCCTTATCCCTCACTTGGGCTGGGCACACTGCCTTCCCAGCAGCAACAAGCCAACACTGCCATTCAGACATGTCTTGTCTCAGCTATCCTGTCTCAGCTGATGTCCCCAGCAAAACCTACCACCCCAAAGGACAATCTTTAGATTCCTGCCAGCCCCAGTGAAGCAGAGATAACTCATACATCATCCAGGAGCTTCCCCTCCACGCGCAGCTCCCACGAAGCAATGCTGCCATCTGAGTCATCAGCGTCTGATTTTGCAGGATTAAATGTGTTGGAAATGTAAAGTCTCAGTTTCCGCTTTTGCTGTTATGCACATAGACAAGGGAAAAGTACATATCCAGTTTAAGTTCAGGATCTGAGGATCACAGGAAAGATGATAATTACAAACTTAACAGGGAATCTCCATGTTTTGTACAGTTGCACTGGTTGTATTAGAATTTAAGATTCTGTTGCTAGTATGAAAATACATTGAAGAGCTGAATCTGAAAATTCCTTTCAAAAACTCTTGGCTATACAAACATGCTGATATTCACTGTAAATGGAGGAAGACAACAGGTTGTCAAGCCTGAAAAGTGATACATCCTGTACATGTGATCAGATATTTGAGAAATCATCGTGAGAAAAGCAAGATATGATGTCCTTTCTGGCTTCAACCTAGCTGGATTGCTAAAATTCACCTGCAACTCTATTGCAACCCAAATGTCTCTCACAGTTGTATCTGTTCAGATTTGTAAATGGCAGTCACAAATACAGCTCACGCTGCAAACTACCTGCTGGGCACATCTCTGCCCATCTGCATTCCACCATGATGCAGCATCTGGTAATAACCCTCTGGCAGACACACCTGAACACACTGACACACACACGCCTTACCCTCCTCTTCACCCCAGCTGCCTCCACCCTCAGCAAACATGCTGCAGCTCCAGCTTGCTGGAGAGCCGAGTGGAGGAAGGCACCCTGCTTCATCCCCAACCCAGGTGCTCAAGGCTGTCAGAAATACAATCATGCCTATTCATTGTCATTTTTACAGACCACCTGAAAGTTCCCCAGTCACTGCAGTGGCTCATGGCTGTGTCACTTCTCAGCACCATTCCTTTCATGCACCATGTGGAAAACCCAGCTATTAAGTCTGACGCACGGATTCCAGAAAAGATTATTACCAAAAATTACTGTGCGATTCTAAATCTTCAATACCTATGTGTAACAATGACAAAAACGCTACAGTTGTCAAGTTAATGCTGACAAAACATGTAAGAAAGGAGTAATTTTGTAAAGCTTTCACACACACACACATAGGAGAGAAGGAAGCTACATACAGCAGATTATACAGCATAATCTGGCATAGAGCAATGGGGAAGACAGAGATGTATGGCCAAAGAAGAACAGGAAAATTACTACATTTTGCCAAATCTGGAGAAGACAGTGACAGAGAGGTTTGACAGAAATGGAGTGTCAGCAGTATGCTCTGACAGGGGACAGGATTTTCCCAAGTGCCATCAGTGGAGAAAATGACAGGTTTACACAGGTACAAACAGGCAGATAGGCAGAAAAATGTTCCTGTAAACCCATGTTTTCTCCATCCCTTCCCACAGGGTTTCTGTTGTCAAAGTGCTCTTTCAAAATGTAATTATTTTAATGACCTCAAATCTCTGTTTGGTGTGGTGGACTTGTGAAGGATTTCATATTTCTAAATTCAAAACTCTTCAAATTACCCTGCACATTTTATGCACCATTACTAAATTTTATCCCCACCTGGATTACTTGCAGAACTGTACCTACATACACAAGCAGGCTTTTACTTAATAGACATCTAGTGTCGCCAGAACCACTGGCTCCTTGTAAGAGAACCTGGATATGGTTGTAAGAACCTGGATATGGTTCTGCTCCCAGACATCTTTTCTTCCAGGTCCAAGAACTAGACAATGGCACTTGAACTTTCCCTACATACCCTTATCACCAACAGTGGTAATGCATACTTCATGGAGCAGAATTTAAAGAAAATAAATTTAGAAATCATTAGCAAAATTTCAGAACCATGGCTCTACAGCCAGGAACAGTTACTTTGGCTCCTCAAGCTCCTTCTCCCCTACCATGACTTTTCTCCTGGCAGCTGATTCAAACTACCATCGAGCCTGTGAAGCAAGACTCTTGGCAGAGACCCAAGAGTATAGTCTGAATGCTACCTGAAGGGATCTACCCAGTAACAACTCCAGCATGCACAGCTATACCACTGTAATAAGGATGTCCAGTCTTGGAAGACACCAGCTCAGAGATGAGATCCAGCCAAAACTGAGCTCAAGAAAGAAAGACACCAATATGGTCCTGCACAGGGTTTTAGAGTACAGGCCATAAAGTCTCTTCAGCTGCTGACACACACCAAAAACCACTGCATTTGGTTCACTCTCGGTATCCCTGTGCTCCACAATAACATCAAGTTCATATCCAGAAGGCTCTCATAATGACATATTCTTCCGTCTCCAGTTGAGCAACTCCATCTCATCCAGGCAGGAAATGATAAAATTTATGAGCAACTTGATTGCTTTGCAGCTTAAATAAAGCAGTGGCAAGAAGCCACTGCCCTTCAATAATTTCTGCAAATTTATTAGCCACGCACTTTATCATACGGACCTAAAACCTGTTCTCCTCTCTGTATGGCTGTTTCTCAGAGAACAGAGGAGCAAGCAACCAAAGGATTCTCAGTAGCTGGGAGCAAAAACTAAAGAGAAGACTCAGAGCTCTAGGGCAAAAAAGAAAGGATCACACTTCATCTCTTCAGATACACCAGACCTTTACCACCCAAAAAGGCAAAGATAAGCAGGGAGAACTTCACAGAGACTTGATTAACATTGTGAATCAAATAATCTCTTGTCCAAAAATCAGTAAATGCTTGATCTCCTTGCTCTCTAAAAGTAAGATACGGATCTTTAACTCAGCTTCAGAAAACGGAACTTTAAATAGCAGTCATATTAAAATGAAAAGTCTTCCCTTAAACCCATTGTATTTCACTTACAATTTCTCCTTGAGAAAACAAAAAGGAAAAAAGTAATCATATGTAACAGATGAGTGGTCATGTCAGCAGTGAACTCCTGCAAAGGTCTCAGCCCAACTACTGGGAGAGCTCATGTGAAATCAAACAGATCTGAATGGGAGGATGACAGGAATGGTGGAGCAGCAAACCGACAGCTTGCTCTCTCTCCAAGTTCTCTTATGTCATCTTCACACAAATCTAGACAGCTTTAAGTTCAAGTACATGGGTGAAATGCCGGAAATCTGTCAAATCCTTCAGAGAACTTCCCCTGGTTTACAGTGCTACCTTTTTTCTTTTCATTTTCCATTAGTATTGAATCCCTAACAAGGCAAATCAGGGAGTATCTGATGATCTCATGATCTGTGTGCTATCCCCCAGACAAATCTCCATCAGCTGCTGAAGTTATTTTTCTTCAATGAACTCTCAGGCTGGACACAAAACCTCCAGGACACTTCCAGGGGAGTTGTGCTTGTGATTTCAAACAAACGAACAAACAAACAAAGTTATTAGCAGATAGTCTATTGCTGACTGACTCAAGAAAATCTGACTGCCAACCTTATAAAGAGTATTGTGTTAAAAGCTCTCTAAATATATCTTAAGGGTGAATTTCTATGAACCTCAACATAGCATAAAAGCCGCAAGCAGAGAGCACAGAAAATATTAAAATCTGTGTTTCTGCCTTTGCATATAGAGTAACTGCTTCCTGATCTCACAGAAAAAAAAAAAAAAAAAACAAAAAACAAAAAAAACCCCAACTTTTTAGGAAGCAATATGAACAGGGGTAGCATGGAAACTAAAAATCAGGAGACAGAAAAAACAATGACCACTGTCTGATCATTACAGAAGACCCAAATTAAACCAAGAGTGTCCATATCAGACCTGGAACATAGAGGCATCTCACTCAGAGCAGCAGCAAGAGATGTCAAAATTTGTAGAGGAAACAAAATTACTTAGGTAACTCCTGAAAAAAGAAACGGACAGGAACTTAAAATGGCCAACCCAAAGCAGAAAAAACAGCAGTGACTTGGTGGACTACACAAATATCATGAATAATAAAAGCAATGAGAGAATATTTACTGACTTCAAAATTGCACCGACACACAAAAAACACTTGTACATGGTTTTATGAAAGCTTAAACAGCAACAACAAAACTTGGAAAAAAAAGAAGCAAATGCTACAGAGGAATAAAATTAAAATTAGTATGCACAATAGTCTACAAAATCAGCTGTAACAGAAACTTATACTTGTAGCAGTATGAAACTTATTTCACAGTTGTATATTGTACTTTCTCAGGAGAGAATGAGGAGTTGTATAGAGATATGTAAAGAGAAGCCAGGTGCACTGAAACATTCTTTATCTACAGTGATTGAGAGGAATGAATTTTTACCTGAGAAAAGAGAACATAAAAGAACATGAAAGACATATTTAAAACATTGACTGATTAAAGGAGATTAGGTGTTTGCATTTTCCTTGTCTCATGCAGAACACATAAAATTATGCCACAAGACAAGTGTTTCAGAAAAAAAACCAAACCACTTTCAGGCAACAATCCACTACTGATTCCTCAGTCACCTTAAAATTTTAAAGTGGGGAAAAAAATCTCAATTCATGAAACTAGGGAGAGAGCCACTATGATGGTATTCTGATGCTACTACTTGTCTTTCACCTAAAAATGGAGAACCTGGAAGCAGATAATTTCGTTTGGAAACTGCAACTACACACATATCTGATAAACTGAATGTCTCACACCAGTTCACTGCAAAAGAGTGACGGTCCCTGGATGACAGTCTCTGGTTTGGGTGAGATGAAAGTACTGTCTGTGGTGTCAGGACCTGGAGAAGAAGCTTTGCTCATGACATGGGTCACATCCCTCTTTCAGTCAGGAGACCCTGGTTCAAACTTTGGGATGAAAATCATCTCAGTCTTAAAAGTATGTTTATGGCCACAACAGTCTATCTCAGGCTTACACAATTGAGAGAAATAAGCATTTTTAGGAGAGAATAAGCATTTTTAGGGCATTATTTATCTATATTCTTTCAAACATCCACTTCTGTATGAGAAGAATTGTGCCCTGAACACCATTGCCTACACCAATTTAATGTCTCAACTATGAAGGGAGCTGAGAGTGACTAGCTCATACATAAATGAATAAAATGGCTATGTATATACTTATCCAAATAAATCCCACTCCCAAAGTCCAGCATGGCCTCAGAGCTGCATAGATTTTCAGTAATTCATTCTTTAATGACATCTACTAGTCTGTTGAGTGTACGGTTTCTCTTTCCTTCAGGCCATGGAGTTTGCTATATCTGTCAAACAGCCCTGTCTGCCTAACTACCTCCTAAAAGTTTTCTGGAACTCTGACCATGTGGGTCTTCCATGAAGGCAGTACGAGGACTCTTGCTAATGCTGCTCTGCAGACAAGGAATTCTGAGACTCATGACAGATGCAATCCAAGAATGCAGGATTGGCTGAAGAAGAGACTACACCAGCAGTGCCCAACTAGCAGAAAACTGCCAAGGCAGGATCTAAACTGGAAAAGTTGGCAGCTGAAGGGGGCTGCTGACAGTAGTCAAAGGACCTGACAGGTGGGGAAGGGCATTTTTCCCTTCAACAGCTGCACAAACCCCAGGTCTCCTCACTTCCTGAGCCATCCCACAGCTGTCACCTGGTTCAAGACTGCAACTGTCCTCAGGAAATCCAAGTAGGATCAACAAGCCAAACATATTTTATGCACTGTCCTCATGAAAAAAATTCCTTAAACCACTTCTCCCTAAAATTTCCCCAGAATAGTCTTCAGACAGAAAAAAACCCAGCCTGAGCAACACTAGACCATAAATCTGTGGTTCCCTATGACTGTTTCTAGCTACAGCTCAATCACTGTAACAAACACTGTAACTGCAAGTAGAGCTGATTACTCTGAGAAATCCTGCATATTCCCTATATAAGTTCACATACCTCAGACAAATTCATATTTCTCCTCAGATTACAATCCCAGTTTGAGAATCACTGTTTTAAGGCAAATATTTCAAAATTACAAGAGCTTTGATATGAGATGGAAATGTAGAGATAACTTCTACTGCTGTTACCAATTCCACAACTATAATAAAATGGAAATATTTAATACGAAGAAAAACCCAAGTTTATCTAGGTTTAGTCCTATTTTGACAGGTCTGATAGGACTACCTATACATGAATTTGAAAAACATCTGTTTGATCATTCTCTAGATGTTAACTGAGTAAGTGATACTGAAAATGTGTTTGCTGAGCCCTAGATGGAAACAGAATTTTCTGTCTACAATTTCTCTGGAGTGTTGTGCCTCCTACACTCTTCCCTATCCCTATCCCAGTCACCGAATATTTCCATTGCACAGCTTACAGCTAATGCACCTTTTAATTCCCTCATTAAAGAGTTTGCCACAGAATAAATAACTTCCTGCTGATGTATGAATTCAAGTCAAAGTCTTCAATCACCTTTAAATATGGCCAGTTTCCTAGCTAATTTAAAAGAATGGCCTTCTACCCATGTCAAGAAGGTAAGAGAAATTATTTCTTCTGAGATTACAAACTACTATGTACAACACTTTTTAAGAATGAATTCATTAATTCAGTTTCCTATCTATTTAGGTATTAATGGAACTTAATTGTTTCTTTTTTGTTTGTTTGTTTCACATATATGAACTGGAAAAACACCAAGAGGTAAAAGCCTTCCACATTTTATCAGATACCTGTACAGTGACAAAGACAATAGAATATTGATCTTTGTTGGGCTGACCCCCTTCACCATGGTACAGACAAGAATGATAGCCTTACATCACAGCAGACATACAGCTACAAAACCCTTCATTCTGTGGGAATTATTAGAGGAATAGAGTATGATCTACCGAATACAGTCATAAGAACTTAAATGAGACATGAAAAGAAATTCTTCACAATGAGGAATTGTAACAGACTGCAGACTGCCTGACGAGGCTGTGAAACCTCCATCCTTACAGATTTTCAAAACTCAACAAGGCCTTGACAATCCTGTTTTAAGCAGAAGTTTGAAGTAGATAACTTCCAGTTTCCTCCTGTCTACACTCTTCCACGATTCCAATGGATAGACTCAGAAAAGTTATGGAAATTGACCATTTCAGTGGGATATTAGGAAGTGCTGGACTTGATCTAATAGAAACTGCAGAAAATGTCATCTATTCTTTTCTTACATAAATAAACATTTCTGTAAGTAATTCTTCCCATTATATGTTCTGTTATTCCACAAGTTCCACTTCTGAATTTGAATTGGAAATGTAATACGTAACTTCAGAACACCTGTCTCTTATTTTCTCATTTTTTATCATCTTAATACAATTAAGTTCCCAAACCAGTGTTTATCTATCCTTTATTTGGCCCTAGGCTATTATTCCCCTTATTAAAGACTTTCAGAAGCTAGAGCTGGTAATAGCCACAGAATTTTCCCTACCACTTTTCTGTGCATGCTGATTCCCAGCCGTTTGCTCTTAGGAGCTTTGTCTGGCCCATTCCAAAGCATTTCTGCTAATGGGACTTTTACTGGAAAGGTATTTACACCACTTACTACAAGAATTATTTTCCTCCCCTGACACAATCTACAAATTTTTCACAACGTACCTTCATTGGCCTCTTCAGTGCTTCCTGAATATCCACGCGCTTCCGCATAATGGTCTGGTCTAGTTTGCGCTCAAAGGCCAAGAGATCCATGTAGGCCTGGGACTCAGGAACCAGCTCCCGGATCTGAGAAGGAAGCAAGGAATATCCAAGCACTGGAAGCACGTATCTGCCATGTTCCAGAACAGCAATACTGACATTCCCAACCCTTGGACAGACGTGCCCAGAGGAGTTCTCCCTCCAACAGCAGTTCCCAGGCAGTGGGGCAGACCCCGGTGCCACGGAATAAGCACAGACTGACCCGTGGGAGCAGAACTGAGGCTAATGCATTCTGCAAGACCCTGCCTGAATCCACAAGGCCTGAACCATGGCTGTTTTCTTCGAGTGAGGCTTAGCTACCAGCAGCCAGGGAGCCACTACTCTCGGCAATCCAAAGTTCAGTGAATTTGTCCTGTTCAAAACTAGAAAAGTGCTGCATCTCTCCAGACTAAAAGAGAGGGGATGTTCATGTTGACATTTCAAAAACAAGTGTTACCTATTGTAAGTAAAAACTGCCACTTAGGATGCCAGCCTTTGTCATCACATCTTCCTGGCTGAGGTGAAAGTGACCTTCATGTCAAAGTTTCAATGTGATCAGCTATCAGGTGTCAACTTATCATCCTGCCAACTTTTATTGGTATTTTAATACATTAGTTAACTACATTAGCTCTATTGACAAACCCCCTTTTTATTTTCTCTTTTACGAGGAAGTTAGCAGAGGAGGGAATATGAAGTAGGTTGGAAGAAAGACCTAATGAACTGAGCTTAGAAATGGGTAAGTATACCCATAAATTAAAATGTTGGTTCTTAATGTGGAATAACTCATGCCAGTAAAACCATTAAAAAAAGGTACTGTAAGTAATTAAAATAGATCTGCTGGACAACCTTTTCTATTTCTACAATATTCACTCTAGCTTTCACTTATTAACTAAAATATTTAACTGTTATAATGTTTCCATATGGATTAAAAGTGAGTTGATATTCCTGTTTTGCTTTGGAATCAGAATTAGTTGCAGTTAAAATTACAATTTATATCTGGCGTAAGGCACAAAGACCTGTGTGAGAGACACCATGCATGCACCTGTTCCCTGTGTTCTGCAAGGACATGAGAACTATTGCACGAGGTTATGCCAGCAGTATCTGCAAGTCATGCCTTTCAGTATCTGCAGTAGCCCAAGGCAGAGCATTCCAGAACATCAACAGGCAATGTGGGAGGAAGAACCTCCTTCTGCTCATTTGGAACCTGCCACAATTGAGTTTCATTTGATGCCATTTCCCTGCACTGCTGCAGTGGGCAGGCATTCCCTGGCACCTCTGACATATGTTTCACAGGTTTTTGTCATCCCTTTCTTAATAATTTTCTCTTCCAGCCTGACTGTGAACAATTAGACTGATTATCAAATAAATGTCTCTTTCAACCTACTCTGTTTTGAGATGGTAGAATACCTGCTCTACTTACAGCAAGACTGATACTTTGGAAAAGCAGAAACCACAGAGCAAAAACTCTGTTCAGCTTTAGCTGAACCATTATATTTTTAACTGCTTATATGCTTTCTCAAAATGTTAGTATCAGCAGAATAATAAAAGAAACACAAGCACGAAGAGCAAGCATTATCCTGGATACATCAAGAATTGACAACTTGCAGAGTAAGGGGCAGCGAGGCAGTGAACGCAAATCTTTGGACGCAACAAAACACCTCAATGTTTTTTCCTGTTCTGCACGTATTAAAAGATTCCTCAATGCCTTGCCTGAAGAAATTAATCACGGTGTGCTGCAGTCAATTAAAAATTCTGGACTGAGAAAGTAGTTTCTTTAATGCCAAGTTCCATCAGAGTCAGTTCATGAAGCCCCAGGGCACATGGTGAAGTAGGGAGAGGCCTACAGAGTCCTTAAGATACAGCCTATACAACACAGGTGATACAACCTTTCCAGCTGGTACTAGACTGGGGATCTAACAAAATTTCTAGGAAGTTTGTAAAAACAGCAGAAACCTTCAATAAACATGGTTATTCCACACTTTTACATCTTTTATCACCTGCAAGTGTCCATTCCTATAACCAAACTGGATGTTAAATATTATAAGACGCTAAAAAGCACAAACACTTTAAAATCATCCAAAGACAAAACTGCATCTAATTCCTTGAACTATGAATGGCTGGAGGCTGGGAGAGCATCTGATAGAAGAATTGTACTTGCTGTGTTTGTATTCTTCTCTATGGTCACAGCAAAGATGGGATTTTGGGCTAGATCAAAGGCTCACTCAGGCCAGTTTTGGCAGCTCTCACAGTCTTTTGCTTTCTCACCCTACTAATGGAATAATCTTTTGCAGGCACGATAGTGCTTATATGATAAGGATCTGTGCAGCCTGCCTTATTCCTTGCATGGTTTGCCCTAACCGAAAAGCTCATAGTCCCATGCAGGTCTACACACTTCTACTGAAGTTCTAACTATAAATGCGAAAAGAGTATTTCAATACTTAAATACTGCATTCTGACCTTTATATAGTTGAAGAAACTCCAGAAAGCACCTAGCAGAAGCAGCATCCTGTCAGCCAAGGTTTTGAAGCATATATAGTTATACTTAGAATTCCATGAATGACTGAAAGAGATTACTATTAACATTAGTAAGACAGTGTCTTTCTTGAGGCTGGAGTTGTTTATCTATCTATTATGAAAATGCAAATGTTTCAAACTTTTAAAGATTAGTAAACAGTAATTATTACTAAATTGTGCATTTTTATTCTTGATTTCCACAAGTGTCTTTTTATCAATGGTGACCAAAAAATGGCCAACTTGTGAGTGGGGGCAGTGAGGACAGTGTGGAAGGAATGGCATGATGGGAGAGTCTCACAATTTCCTTGTAGAAGCAGCACAGTGTGGGGGCCGCACCACACCTGCCCGTAAACAGATGTGCATGGCATGTGAGACAGAATCAGAAACCAAGGAACAGTTGCAACACTAGAAATTTTGGGATATGAGCAACATCTTTAGATAGCTTCTATGGCTGTCACAGTAAGACAGCTTGGAGGGCAATGACCGCAGTCAGCAGCGTGGGAAAGCAATGAGGAAGTCTTCTGCAAGATGAGCAGCAGAAGGAAAGCTAAGGGAAAACTCAGGTTTGGGTCTGGCTCTGCCACTCGTGTCAAAAGCCACAGAGAAGGCTCCACGTTGTCTTTGGCTCCATTGCTCCTGGCCGAGTCCTGTCCTCAGGCCTCCCAGGGTCCTGAGCCCAAGTCAGTGAGGGCAGCAGGGCTGGACAGAGGGATCCTGACGGGCCACAGAAACACAATGGCACTTCAGCATGGTAAAGGTCAGCACAGGAAAAGCTCTGCTCCTGGGATAGAATGACATCGTGCAGGGGGACAGGTTGGCAGGAGAGGACTCGGGGGCCCTGATGGACAGACAACAAGTGCAGGAGGAGTCTGTGGGGTAGGGCAGCCACAGCAAAGGTCAGCTGCAAAAGGGGCTGTATTAGCGCAGGTGCTGCCACAAGCCAGCAAAGAGGCTCCTCCTTGCTACACCACGCTGGTGAAACTGGATCTGGACTGGTGGGCACAGGACCACAAAGATGTGACACCCTGGAGCGAGGCCCACAGAGGCCCAGTAGGATGCTGGGGTCTGGAGCAGAGACCTGCCGAGAGAAGCTGCTAGAGCTTCTCCAGCCTGGAGAACAAAAGGGAAAAGGAGATTCCCTGGGAGCATGTGACGTATGGACTGGTGAAGCACAGACAGGGCCAGCCTCCCCTTGGAGGTGCATGACATTAGGGTGAGAGGCAACAGAAACTCACTGCAGCATGGGCAATTCACTCCCTATAAGGAATTGGTTTGTAAAAACACCTCTGACAAAACAAACAAAACACATGATGGCACTTGGAACAGGCTACCAAAAATGCTCTGGAGTGTCCGTCCTTGGCTGGAGGTATTCAGAAGCAGTCTGGACAAGGTCCTGAGCAAGCTGATGTAATTCGAACCTGTTTTGTACAACAGCTGGCCTGTAAGATTTTCACAGGTCCTATTGTTGTGCACCTCCAAGGTCCAAATAAAAAATCCAATACATAAAATTTGATCTATTTCAGGCAGGAACAACTGGAGCTGCATTCTTGACTGCCTAACAGTTTCAGCAATCTTGATAAAAAAAAAAAATAATAAAATCACTAATCAATAGAGATTTGTCAGCTTCTTTAGAATTACCATCTTTGAGAGAGGTAACAAAATCCAAGACCTTACTCCCCCGAGCCTGACAAGCTCAATTTGATCCTTAGCCATTTTTTTACTACCTATGGCAGATGGACATAACCCACACAATTCACAGGTATTGCTGAGAACTAGAATTTTTATATCTTAAGTGGCAGTGACTGAAGTCTGACTTGGCAGCTACTGGACAGTTTCCCTGCTGTGAAACTTTACCCTATAGCTTACTGACAAAAGTGTCTCTACTGCTGAGGCTTCTATGGTGGTCAAAGAAAGACAGCTAATGGCTGACACGCCTTATAAATCCTAACTGTGCCACCCTGCAACCCCGAAGAAAGAATGGCTTGAGGAGGATTTCTGACTACCACAAGGCCAGTAACACAGTCCATTAAAATGGCAAAAGCAATCCATGTTCTTGGTCCTTCTCTTAGGAGCTGGCAAGCCACTGCTGTCTCAGAGTCTTCCTTCAGGCTGAGCAAGGCTGGCTTTCTTAGTCTTTCCTCATGTGCTGATCCAGTCATTCAGTCAACCTGACAATCATCCACTAACCTCAGTCCAGTTTGACAATGTTTTTCTTGAATTCAGAATCCCAAAACTGGACACAGAGCTCTAGCATTGAGCTAACGAGTACTAAGCAAACAAGGGTAATCAAGTCACTCAATCTGTTGGCTGTGCTCCTGGCCACAGAGTTGTGGATGCTGTTAGTCATCTTTGCTGACAAGGCATACCCCCTGCTCACACTCAGCTCACTGTCCACCAGTGCTGCTTCCCAGCCAGGCAGCCTTTCTCTTCCCCAAGGAAGAACATTTTACTTAGTTGACTTTCATAAAGTTTGTGTTGGTTCATTCCTCCAGCGTGTCCACAAGCATATCAACTGGTTTCCCCACCCAGTGATTGGTGTCATCTGTATATTTTATAAGCAAGCACTGCACTGCCTCCTCCAGTGGCAGAGATGCTGGACTAAATAGCTGCTATGACACATCCCTGAAGTACTCTGATGTCAGGCTCTTCATAGCAATCATTCTCAGCTTCATCATCCAACCAGATGTGGCTGTCAGCCCATTTAGACCAAAATGCCCCCACCTGAATACAAGATGTATGACAGAGTGGCCTTGAAAGGACATCAGCCAGTCCCCTCAGCTCCCTCAGATGCAGCCTGTTGGGTATCATGGAGTCATATGGGTCAAGTTTCTCAACTAAATCCTGACCCCATCCCCATCCACCATCGGCTGTTCCTCTTGGATGTGTTCACTGATCACAGGCCATGAGAAGCATCATTAGTGCAGACTGAACAAAGAAGGCTTTGAGTGCTTCAGACTTATTGTCTCTGTCATCACTGGGTCACCCAGCCCACTCAGCATGGGGCACACATTTTCCTTGGTCAGTCATTATTACTAGTGCAATAGTAGAAGCTTTTCTTGTCCTTGACGTCCCTTGAAGATCTCAACTACAGCTGTGCTTTGACTTTGTTGATACCATTCCTTGTGTGCCCAGGCAATGTTTCTAAACTCCTCCTTTGTAGCCTCTCCCTTCTGTAGCTTCACTTCTTGTACATTGCCCTTTGATGTTGGGACCACCACTGTGAGTACCCTATTCTGGACTCCTCATAAATCTGCTCATTTTCCTGCATTTAAAACAGGCTGCTCTTAAAGGTCCTTAAAGACCACCCAGCTTCCCTGAGCCACTTTGCCCTTCAGAGGTCCTTCTCAAGGAACCACCCCCTACCAGTTCCCTGGAGAAGCCAAATTCTGCTTGTCTGAAGTCCAGGGCTTGTACTTGACTGCTCTCCTTCCTCATTCCCTGCAAGATCTTGAATTTCTGTATTTCACAGTTGTTATATCCAAGGCTACTGCTGATTATCACACTTCTAACCTCTTCCTTCTTACAAGTGAATGGGAGATTCAGGTGTTCCTCACCTCTGGTTGGCTCAGATGGAGAAAGAGGTGGACAACAGCCATGCAGTGACCAAACCACAGTAGGACAGCTATTATGGCATGGATCTGTGCAGAGAATTCCACATGGTGGTCAGTGAACAGCAGCAGCAAAAATTGGCTAAATATCTGTGTAAAGGAAAATGAAGTAGAGAAGATGAAAAGGGGAGGGACAGGTGTACAAAAACCTGTCAGCACAGCTGGACAAAAAGTCCTCAGGAATTTGGGTCTGAGTGAGAACAGCAGCTAATACTAAGAGATAAGCGTGCCACTGAAGGAGGGCAGTTTGCTGTTTCAAAGTTGCACTCTGCTCAGCAAATTAAGCAAGAAAAAGCAGAGACAGGCACAGCTATGGAGCCAGAATGGTTTTCAGCTGAGATTCTTGAATCAGAATGGCTAGGCAAGGAAGCCAAAGAAAGAGAATGGTGGATCACATTCACAGCTCCCTGGGAAAAAATGTTATGACTCAATACTGAAAGAAAGATTGACCAGAAATAATGAGGAGCCAAGGCCTGGAGAGAGAGGTACAATCTGAGGTGCTGTCCCCATAGACAGTTTGTGGTCTGAGGTCGAAATTGAGGCACAACTGCTAAACTTGGGTCACAAGGGCAAATTCAGTTCCAGAGATTTAGGTCCCCAGCTATGAATGAAGATGCCTGCGAACTTCTCCAAAACTGAATGAGGGTTTCAGCAACAGTCAAGTGTGAACAAGGGAAAGATCCAGAAGTGAGGAAAATAGGGCAGGATAGAGCCTGCTGGACAGAACTGGAATTAATGTAAAATACACTATAAAAAATACTAAGCCTTGTTATGCTAGAGTATGTCAATGTGAGAGTAACCAAGTCCTCCTGTTTATTAAAATTGCATTTTAGACAAAAGATATGCAGTCAATACAATCAATGTGCATTGACATACAGTAATAAAGGGAACTGCTCCTTAAGACTGAAAAATAGGAGTTGGAACAAGACCTGGCATAGGAAAAAAGTGCTCTTGTACAAAAAGGACAAGTATGCTAAGAAAACTTAGTAATGATAAATTTGGGTGTCACTGTCATTGCAAGGCAGAGGATAGTAGAGAGAACGTAAGGAAGCTCAGAACTGTATAATGGCGATGGGGTGCAATACAGCATTGCAGTGCACAGGATCATGCCTCAGAGTCTAAATCCTGCTCTAACATGGGAATTCATTAGTTGCATATGACAGAAAGCAGAAATACTAGAAGTACTAGTGGTCACAGAATGACCAGAGGCTATATCAATGTGGAAAAGCCATTTAAAAAAACAAAACAAAACAAAACAAAAAAGCACAGCAATCCCAATTCACAGTGCTATTTCCAATAGAGCTAAAAATGCAGGAGCAGTATTAGAGCACTGGTGATACTGGCAATCTGTAATACTATGTATAGTTCTGGTTTCTTGAGAGGCAGATTTTAAAAGGTTTGAAAGACATTAATTTAACCTGGAACAGATAAAACAAATGACTAAGAGGATTTCAAGACGGGAGCCTCTCTAACTTGGCAAACTAAAAGCACTTCCCTTGCCTAACCTAGCAAAATAAAAAAAAAACCCAAGCTGCCAGATCAAAAATATGTCTCAAGTAAGGAACCTAGTCTTGAAGCGGCAGCTGTGTCATGGTTTCCATGACAGAGGGAACCAGGTTTGAAGTGCCAGGATGTCCCATGAAGTTCTCCAATCCAATCTTCCTACGTGCAATACTGCTGAGTTGAACTTTTCATACAATTATATTCCTGCAAAATAAACCCTTCTCAAACAGCTGACTTGGAGCTGCTCAGTGATCCTACCCAACCAGCACTATGCTCCAGGACTATGGCACAGGCTTGAGCAGAGAGCCTGGAAATCCAACAAGAGGTTACCTGTGCCAACTGCCTGAATCACTATCATAGTGAGGAATACTAACAACTCACCTCCTTTCCCACTACTACATAAGATCATTTTCAAGAGTCAAAGGTATTTCGTATCTTCCCCTCTCCAAAGTTCAAAACATAAGCAAGCATCTGCAAAAAGTCTGTGGGTAACAGATGCTGACCGGCTGGAAAACACTCCAGAGGTAGTTCCGGAAAGCTGAAGTTTTACCCTGTGTTTCACACACATTCCACAGCCACCAGTGCAAATCCCCCACTTGACAGAATAATGATGTGTACAGCATTTCTTCATCCCACAGATGGTGTAAGGGATTTCTGACACACTAACTGTAGCCTAACAGAGTGCTTTAACCGAGACAGAGGTCACATCACTGATACCAGCACTGCAGCTGCACTGATAAAAACCCCACTGCAGAAGAGACCTCTAGAAAATGCCTTATTACTCCATCAGTTAAAGCTATTGGCTGGCAGCAACAAAGATACTGAAAAGCAAGCATATTTGGTGACAGCATGGTTCTGAAAGCATCTGTAGAGATTTTTGACACACCTATATAAGGCTCTACCTATTAAAGAATTATCATGGACTTTGTAAACAAAGTCAGTGGTCTTCTGCTGGCAAAAATGTTTGATTACCTCTTACACCTTTTAATCTTATAAAGGCAACAGGCAAAATAAAAACCAAAAATAAAAACACTCCCACAACCAACCAACCAACCCAAAACCAAAACCAAAATCATCTTGAAATGGACATATATTTCCAGCAACAACCTCACTATACAGGATGTATCACTGTCTGTGAAAACAGTTTGTGTGGGACAGACAAAACTGACAGTACAAAGAAACTCAGCATTCATTATAAAAAAAGTACAGACCACCAGCAGAGCAGGAATGAGGCTTCAGCACAATTACCAGGGAGGCTGCATATAGTTCAAAGGTCTGGGTTTAATAGTAGCTTTCAAGACAGCAACATGAGAGATCTAATGGCTTACATATGAGAGGCTCTGCTTTCAGAAAGTGGCAGGAATAACAAGAGAAGAAGTAATAGTGTAAGATCAGGAATACCAAAGTGGGCTCACCTCTTTGGATGACTGGTAGTAGGCACCTGTGAAATGCCACAGAAATTACTTTGCAGCCTGCCAGCAAGTTTGGGCTCCTACTTGCGATGGAGCTCGAAAACTTGCTTGAAAAAAAAGCCAACTTGCTGGAGCTTGAAAAGCATATGGAGGAAAAGGATACACCTGTCCAGGGGATTCTGAGCCCAGAAAAACTACCAGCAGTAGTAGTCAAAGCAACGGAGACTAGGATGTGACAAGGGTGCGTGTTTGGAAGCCTTTAGGGACCAAGCAGGTTCTCGGGAACTGTACTGAAGAGGGTAAAGGAAAGGAAAAGTACGGGAATAATGACAGAGGACAGCAGAGAGAAATCCCAATGTTTAGAAAGGAAGCAGAAGACGTAAGCATTGAGGATCAAATATAGGCAGACACCAAAAGCTAGACATATCCCCCAGGGATAAGAAAATTAGTAACTCTCCAGACAATACAGACCCCTCGGATTCTGTTGTTTACACGGGTTCACTTCAGCCCTATGGTGACACAACCACAAAAATCACTACCAGGCAGCTCTACTGGGCCAGAGACCTGAGTCTGAGCCCACCCCCTCAGGTACAGCCATACTCTGGACCAGGTTTTGGCTAGCCTCGAAAAAGGATCAGAAGGATTCTGGAGACCCAAGGGCCCCAGAGCCGAGCTGCCGCCTGGCACCACGGTCCCTCCAGCAAGCGGCAGTGCTGGCTCGGCTAACCCAGGCACGAGGCCGCACAGGCCGGGCTGCTCCACACTCCCAGCCCCCAGCCCAGCCCCAGCCTGGCTCTCCAGACTTTCACCCACTGCCTACTTACTTTTTAATTAGATTTTTAAACAAAAAGTGAAAGAATTTTCTAAAATTCCTGTAATTATACTAAGATGCTGAACTGATTGTGAAGGGAATAGGAAATGAAAGCGACTCACCCTCTGAGGGAGAATTTTGTCAGCCATCTTCCTCCTCTTGGCACTGTACATTTTTTAAAGAAAAAAACACGTTACCATGGTGACAGATCTAGGAGTAACGAGGCCACCTGCTAAATTATCCTGACATCTCCACATGCTGGTGCACAGCTGTGCATGCATCAGCAAAAGGGTCTCACCCATGCCCAGGACCTTGTACCCCTTCTCTCAGCAGCCTGGGGAGGCAGTTAGGTAAGAACGAATCAGGGCTGTCTGTTACGCATCCTGGAAAGAAGTCTGTAAGTTCTTTGATCATAGCATCTTCCATGGTGCAGGGGGGCAATACATGTGTAAAGTGCACGCACTGCTGCTAGGTACAGACGAGTGTGCAGAGGACAGTCTCACGTGTGGTGTGCACAGACACACTCCTATGTGTGTGCACATCTGAGTGGCCGAGTCCTTGCAAATGGCACGTCAACTTGTTCAAACAGACAACACAATTCAATCATGCCCAAAATTAAGTGCTGAAGAACACACATATATATGTGCGTGTATTTCATATGATGTGTGAAAACACACACAAATGCACACCCTTCCTTGTGTACATACACACTTGTTTTACTGTAACACATTTGCATGAGTGATGGACAAATGTAAAAGACCTTACATTTCCACATTTGTTCATCTTTATGAACACACATGGGAAGACGTATGTGTGTCTGAAGTGTATATACACACTGTGTCCATACCCATACATAGGCACATGTCTATAGCTATGCTTTTAAAAAGCATACACACTTGGACTTATGTACATAAGAATACAAATGTGTATGTGCCTGAGAAATGGTACTGTCAGGAAGACTGTTTTCAGATTCTAAGAACTCTTCAGGCCTACCAAACCTGTCACCCAGCTTTCTCTAACAGGGCCAAGAGGGAATTCAGGCCCTATTCTTCATCTCTTTAATCTGTGAGGCCAGAGATTCATCAAGAGATGAATCACTCCATCTGTGACAGACAAATGGGAGAAAGCAAACCACCTGCTGCCACTCTGCCATGCCACAAGGACACCCCTCCTTACTATCTTCTCACTGGAAGCCTGTCATCAGCCATGTCCACATAAAAGCTGTTTCCATGCACATTGATGTGGCATATTCTCTTCCTACGTTTGTTAATTATAAGCCAGGGCTGAAATACCAGATTCTTAAGACTCTTCCTCATCCCCACGTAAGCTAAGGCTGAGGAACTCTTTGTGCTTGGAGGTGCAGAGGGCAGAAAATTCAGTTACACCCAACTTAATAGGTGAACAATGTCCCTTTTAAAACATGTAGGAAAATTGGGAATGGAATGTTACATGGTGTGAAACTCCAACACCTTCCACAACTCACAAAATCAAATCTGCACTGAAACACTTCACACAATCTGGAGGTAAAGGCTGAGCAAGCTCCAGCCTCCCAAAGGGACTGGGATATGCATTACCTGGAACAAACCCACAGGCTTGCAAATAAAAAGCAAGAAAAAAACAAAGCAACGTCCCCAAACAATGTGGATCTCAACCAGTTCTTCAATAGTCTGTTACAAAAATGAGATTTTTGTCTCCACCAAAACTGCTGAGAAAGGAAAAGCGCAACTTTCTTGGCCCATGCTAGAAAACATGGAACTCATTTACCCCCCAGAACTGGATCCAAGGTGCCAGAAAAGTGTGCTTGAAGAAACAGAATGAGAAATCACAGGGAGGTGGAAATGAAAAAAAGGGAAAACATTCAATACATTATCTCAAGGGAAGGCATGGCAGAAGAAACAGAGAAACTCTCTGAGTACCCAGGGAGCACTGGTGTGAACTGGGCTCAAGGCCATAGAGGTCACTGCTGGGTCCCAAACTAAGAACAGGGGAGGAGAACTTTTTTCTGCGAGTCAGGCCACCAACTTTTAGCAAATACTGTCCTTTAATGCTCACTGGAAACTAGTTAGTGACTAAAGTTTACGTTAATTATCCAGGAGGGGCAATTTTTCAGGTTATATCCATCCTAGTACCTGAAGGCTGGGCATTTTGTGCAGTTTCCTGGAGAACCTTCTGGGAGGTGTTACAGAATGTGCATTTTGGCTGGTAGTGGGCAAGGCCTCCAAGATGCCCATGCACTGCTTGTGCTCACATGCTGCACTCATAGATATTCCTTCTGTGTTCAACCTTTTTCAATTGTACTCTCAAGATCAGTGTCCTTTCCAGATGCATCCCAGACATAAGCATTCCCAAATCTGGCTTGCTGATCCAAGGTATACAACTTGGACAGAGTAGGGCTCCTGAAGAACGGAGATTAGAGAGGTACGTTTTTCCCACAGATGGATTCCCTGACACCACCAGAACACTGACTGAAAGCTGTATATACATCTATAATGATTCTGTAAAAGGTAGCCCCCACAGATGACTGCACCCTATGTGTGTGTGGATCAGACTCAACACTCAAGACTGATAAGGTCTAATACACTGCAAAAAGAAATTAGTTAACTTTTTTTAAGAGAGAATGCGTTGTACAAGGTAGGCATATTTCAGAAAGAAATGTGAAATCGCTGTATGAGATATAGATGTCTCTCTAATTTTATGAAATTACTTCCAGTGCATATTTATTTACATTATATGTAAAAACACTTGGGACAACTGCAAGTTTTATGACTACTTTTCTGAATGACCATAGTACAAGTATTCACATGACAAACCAAAGTTTCTTCCACTTGTGTCATTGACAAACTTGTTAGCAAGTCAGAAATCAGAGCAGTTATAGAGAACAGGCAACAAATAATACATAATTGTACTGTATTAGAAGAGAACTGTTCATTAATTCTAAAGGCTAAACATACTCAACAGATTTATGGCCTGACAAACCTGCAAAATAAAAGTAGAGTAACTTCAAAACCAGACATCATTAAAGGTCATTCACAAATAAAAAAACCCAGAAAATTTACCAGTGCTTTTCCTGCTGAAAAAACTGACAATACACAGATCTTCAATTCTGTCTCATTTGATCTTAAAGGTCTTACCTACTGCTAAATAGGTATCATCTTTCCTTCCTCAAACTGTCCTCCTGTGTTTTCTTTCCAGAACACTCACCTCCTAGCTCGGTTCTGAGTGGCTTGCTGCTGCTGTTGCACCTGCTGCTGCACCTGCTGCTGTTGGACCTGCTGCGGCGCAGTGCGTTTTCTTGTTGTTTCCATCACAGTCTGGGGCATTCCAGGTCGCACAGAGGGGCTTCCGACGTATGGGGGGCCTGGAGGACCCATGGGAGCCCCCTGATGGGGCATTCGAGCTCCCGATGGCATCCCAGGGCGCTGGAGGAAAAGAGAAGCAGAAAGAAAAGCCAGTCTGGTTCCTGTTTCTGCAGCTGCCAAGACATTTGTACATCATGCAACACTGGCCCCAGCAGATTCCCCTTTTGACCATCCTGATAAGCACTAAGCAGCAACACAAAGCATGTAAGCTCTGTGACTGGTGTATCTTGGATGTCATGAAGAGGCATTCAGGGATAAAGTAGACAGGAAACAGAGGTGAAATACTAGGCTTGGGAAAACACTCAGTGGTCAGTAGCATATCCAGACCAGGTACAGGTGGAAGCTCTACCTTCAGCCCGAAGAGAACACCCCATGGCAGCGACACACAGTCCAAACCGGTGCAGCTCATGTGCTGCTCAGGGCTGCGAGCACGCTCCCACCGCACGCGCTGCACTGCAAGCAGGCGGCTCTGATCAGCTGGGAGACAGAAACCAGCACAGGCAAAACACCAGGATAAACATTTCCCATTAAGAGCCTTCTACTTCGCCTACACCAGAGAGCAGTGTAAGTTCATAATACAACATTAATCCTTTAAGAAAAAGGTCATGTCTCCAATCAAGCCTTTAAAATAAAAAAAAAAAATTAAAAAAATGAAATGCATGTGGTCGTTTGTCAGCAGCCCCTGCAGCCATTGTAAAGCCCTGGTATTTATGTTGACTTCTGCATGCTTTTGAGAGACACTGGATGAAATCACAAGCTCAATGCTGCACAAGACACACAGTAAACCAAATTCTGAACTCTTAAAAGTTTATAGTCATCGAGGAAAACCACCATTAAAATAATTACTTCCTGTAAAATGCAATTCAAAACAGAGATGAGCTTAGTCTCATGCTGAGAATTATCAATATCTGTATGTCCACATATATGCAGAAATACAGACACACACAGACTCTCTAGGTGTTTGAACCAGGATGAGAATAAGAAGTCCTTTGAAATCTAAGTCCCTCTACAAGGTCTTTTACGGAAACCAAGAGGCAATGGCATCCATTATTGATACACAATTGGTTAAAGGATAGAAATGAGGCAAAAGTAATTGGTTCTGAAAAGAAAAGAAAGGCACATGTAAAATTCTGCTGGGACTTCTCCTTTTCAGTATATTTAAAACAACCTGGAGGAAAAAAAGAACCAAAAAAAGCCAGGAAAAAAGCAAGGAAGTGAGTAAGTTTGTTGGTAATGCTGAGTTCATCATGCTGGCAAGGATGAAGGCCAGCTTCAAGACCAGCAGAAGGACTTTATGAGACAGAATGAACACTTAAAAGGAAGCTGCAAATGTAGTTCAATACATATTGAACTGAATTACAAAAGGGAAAAAAACAATCCAAGAATCACAGACAAAGCAATGGGCCCTAAGCTGATTGCTGTCCAGCAGAACCAAGATCTTGTTTAAACTGACACTTCCAGAAAAGTATCTGCTTACTGGTTACTAGAGGTCAAAAAAAGTCATAAAGAAAAGAAATAAGAGCGGAGGGAACAGAAGATACCAGTGGTTCCATGGCCATGGTGTGTCCACAAGTAAAGGTATGTGTGCAGCTCTGGCTCCTGCAGCTCAGTGATGGCAGGGCCGAGCGGAAACAAGGACACAGTAATTCTTAATGTATGGAACTGCATCCATGGAAGTAAACGTAAATATATTGTGACTTTTCATCTGGAAAGAGGTGATACAAGGTGATCTAAAGGGGCAAAGTGCCATATGGCCTGGAGAGGACAGTTGGGTACTGACTGTTCACTGCCCCCCTCTAGAATAATGAACCCTGGCCATCAGCAGAGGGGTCAGGCTGGAGGGGTGAGTCTGTCACACTGTGGGTATCAACCTGTGGAACTCTCTTCCAAAGGGATGGTAACAACATGGAAGACATATTTGGCTCAACAGCTGCAGACCGAAAAGGTATTTTACTGGAGAAATACACTACTGGACCCCAAAGTGAGATGCGTGCACCCTGAGGGTATGCAAGCCAGTCCACTAGGGGTGGGAAGAAAATATTTAGTGCACAGTCAACACACACACACACACACACACACACATATATATATATATATATATATAAAATTTAATATTTATTTCATAATTTCTATTATTTCTAAATATGTAACTATGTATTATAATAAAACATAATTCTAAAAATAATTTGGACCTGCATCTCCAAATTAACCACCCAAATCGATTATAGCTCCCCAAGCCCCAGCTCAGTGCCCGCCCTGATCATCACAAATCTAAGATATCCTCATGCTTGCATCTATAAAGAAAACTGGAGAAAGGAGAGGAATGGATGATCAACAAAGAACCAATACGGGCTGTAAGTGGCACAGACAGAGAAGCAAGGCAAGAGGTAGGAGAGTCACCAGTGCAGGGATCCAAGCCAGTGAATTCAGCTACTGTTGACATAAGAAAGCAATGGCAGGTATGGCCATGGAGAGAGCAGCAGGCAGACCAACCCTGCAGCTTTGTGCAAAGCTCCAAATGTCTTCTGCCATGAGCCTGGAGCCCCAAGAACAGCTGGAAGGGAACAGTGCTCTCTGTTCCTGTGTGCGTGTGCCCACACCCTCTCACCCAGGCAGAAAGAAATGGCCCGGAAAATGCTTCTCTCTTGAGCCTGTATTTAAGATCTGTCATCTGTCAAACCACATATTGTGGCCTCCTTCCAGCAAAGGGCAGACCACCGGGCCAGCTGCTGCTTGTCAGTCAGCTGGGGACATCTGACAGTGAGAGCCCGGATCCTGAGCACAGCCATCTCACGGAGACTGACTGGTCACATGGATGAAACTGAAGGCCCACTTTGGTGTTGCTCTAAAGGATAACTTTGGGCTTAACAAACGAAGTCAGCAAGGTACATCTACTGTCAGTCTTGGTGTTATGTCTTTGAATTTCCTTCAGTTTCCTTTGTTAAGCACTAAAATAGAGAAACATAGCGAAAGGATAAACATGAGAAAAGAGAGGCAGCTTTAGCAAAAGCACATTAGATCTCATCCCTTGACCACCTCATTTCTTCACCTCTGTTCTCATGACCCTACCTCCAATATCACTCATAGATAAAATATTACTCACTATGCAACTGTGCAACTGTCTTCCTCCTGCAAGCCCACCAGACTCCCAAAGATACAGAAACGCTTCATCTACTTAAACTTTTGTAAAAGAAGAACATACACGCAGTATCTCACCTTATCTAAAAGCTTATTTTGCTCTCAAATGCATGTGTGAGACAAGACAGTGATAGACAATACATCAAATTTTTCACAATAGTGACATTAAAGAAAAAAAAGTCTTCATACTGAGGAGTATTCCAGTACTACTATGACTTTTGAAAGAAATCTTGAAGGTGCATCTATCTATAGGTTAGGATCTGTCTCTCCCTGTCCTCCTCAGCAGGATGGAAACTATCTTAAACAAGAAGCATCCATGGGAAATGCTGATGAGCAAAACAGCATTGACACATCCTCCTTCCTGGAAAATCATCTACCTGAGATGCCCATCCCTGACCCATCTCTGTTTGTATCCAGAGTCCCATCTCCTTTTTACCTCCACTGATACCATTTACATGTATTAATCTGCACAAACACCTCACTGGACGGAAGGCAAAACCACTTGGGGGTCATAGGAAATGAGGAAGACCACAGCCTGTCCCCAGCTGAAGCAACCACTCTCACAGCTCTGAGAATGTGAAGCAGAGAGCAGAGCAGAGGTGATGCACAGCAGCAAGGCAAAGGCAGTACAGTGCACAAAGGAACACGACCAGTATTTCATGCACATGTACTGGTCCCCAAGAGTTCTGCTGATTGCCTGTGTACACGTGCACATCACTGCTCTGGCTACAGCTGTTCAAACCTGAACACACTGTCAGTGCAGCAGAACACCACCACCCCACCCCCACCGACACCTGCTGCCATAGCCCTCCACTGCCTTCCACTGACCAGTTTCCAAAGCCACGTTTGGCTTGTCTGCTGTTTTCCTTTCCTGAACTTCCCGTCACATCAGAGCTCTGCCTCTGTCCTCTTTGTGATCCTTAAGTGAACTTCTGTCTGACAATAATAACAAAGACAACATTAGAGCAGTGCTTTTCTACATTCTTCTGCTGCAGAGTCTTTTCTCAGGGGATGTGTATCACAGCAGTCAAAACACAGAAGCAGAAAAAAGGAGTCCTGTCTGGACATAGCAGTAAGAGGAAAATAACCTGGAGAACTGACAGGTGAAAGTAAAAGAAGTGTCAAGTAAAGCAAAAACACACCCACAAGAGGCCTCAGAAAGAGACTGAACAGAGAACCAGGAGTTGCTGCATTGCAGTTGAGTGCTGAGCTACACTTAGAGCAATCCCCTGTCCTAACAGACTCCATCCACCTCAACACCACACGGGAGGCTCTTACGGCTGACTCGCTGGGAACAGCCACCAGCTGCAGAGACACTGACAGATTTTGAGAATAACCACCACCATCAAGTATACAAACGGTTTATTTCTTAACTACAAAGAAGCCTCCAAGAAAGATGGAGAGAGACTGTTTACAAGGGCCTGGAGTGACAGAACAAGAGAGAAGGGCTTCACTGACAGATAGTAGGTTTAGATTAGAAGAAAATTCTTTACTTATGAGGGTCATGAAGCCCAGGTTGTGGCTGCCTCATCTCTGGAAGTGTTCAAAGCCAGGCTGGGTGGAGCTTGGAGCAATCTGGTCTAGTGGAAGGTGTCCCTGCCCATGGCAGAAGGGTGGGACAAGATGACTTTTTAAGGTTCCTTCCAATCCAAACTATTCTACGATTTCTATAGGGCATAAACATAAGCAGGAGGAGATACCTGATGCTGTCTGGAACTAAGAATGAGTAACCAGAAGTACCTGGAACCCTTAAGAAATTTAGATTAGATTGATATTGTGTGATGGCAACAAGTTTCTGACTGGGCAAATGGTTTCCCAATCGGATATGTTGATTCAAAATGGACTCTTAGTACAACAAATAAAACTGGTACAAGGCTTCTCTCCTTCTTACAGTTATAGAGGTTACTTCACGAGTTATCTTT